CTCGTTAATAAAACAAGGAAAAATTTTGAACGCGTGGTATTAAGGTGATAAAAATTCTTATGTTGTTTAATCCCCGTAATTCGAAGAGATTATTAGCATTTCGCACGAAATTTATAATAAATTTTTAAAAAAGAATTTTTTTAAATATTTTTAATATACTGAAAAAAGAATTACATTTCAACAGAATGAAAGTGATATAAGACAAAAACTAGAGACTAAAGTTTTACTTCAAAGTAAAGCTATTATATCGTCGCATGATGTTTATTCTCTCCCTGATTTGACGGGAAATATAGAGAGATAAAGAAAGATATTGGGTTAAAGCTAGAGGGTCGGTTTAAGCAAAGGTGGTCCACGGAGAAAGCTCCGAGGATCAGGAAAAGGGAAACGTACCTTAGAAGAGACGATCGAGATCGAGGCGGAAACACATCGAATGGGATTGTGATTGGATAGCGACAAAATAGAGTTGGATGGGATATACACACATGTATCGTGCCGGTATCGAGTCGACTATGGATGACCGGATGAGCCTCTGAAATTTATTCGATCAATCCTTAACTCGTGTAGAAGGACGGAAGAATCATGAACACGATGAGAGAGGAAGGGAAAAAGAGAAAGAGAGAGACGGCAATAATTTCTTGTGATTAACAAACTATTTTTGAGAGATCGAAATTTTCGAAAAACAATCCATAAAATGGACAATAAAGGGGACGATTTAAAATTTTTCTCTTTAAAATTCTTTTCTACGAATTAGTATGTTTTTTTTTCAACTGTTGCTAATCCAAATTGATCCATAAAATTTCATTAAAATTAGTATTAAAGAATTTATATAATGCTTTGTATACATAACTAAGGGCAGGAAAATCTAGTCTGAAAAAAACATGGCAAATTCTGGTTTTTACTGGATTTCCTTCAATGAAATAAACTGTAAATATTATAAAAATAATTAATATGCAATATTAAAATATATTTATAATTTTATGCAAAAGGATATTTCTCAATTAATAAGTTACATCAATCACTATATATATATGTTAAAAAATGATATATATATGTTAAAAATATCATAATAATAAAGTCTTCTTTAATCATTATATCAATCTTCTTTAATTCATTATATCAATATGTAAAATATTTTAAATAATAACTTTAGAGATATAAATATTACTAAATTTTATATTAATTTTTAGTTTAATAAGAAAAAATGCAATAGTAGCAAAATTAAAATTTTTCATCAATATAAGGCTGATTTGATCTTTCAACGTCCTCTAAAAAAACTAATTTATTTGCTACGTCGATTTTTAATCTGTTACATATTTTAGTTTAATAAAATAAATAAAGCTTAAATTGGAAAACATTTTTTCAATTAACGAATATCGATAAAACAAATTTTCTATTTTATTTTAACATTTAGAAAAAAAAACAATTTTATCCAAAAAATGTGAAATTTTGCTGATTGCTTATACATATATCAGACTAATAAATTAACGAGATAGAAACAGTCGCGAGAGAATGTTATTTCAAAGAAAATTATCCATTCGCACTTTGTCATATATTTAAAGCGGCGTTATGTTACGAGCACACACACAAGTTAAGATGACGTTACCGAGAAAAACCTTACAAACCGCACATATATATTACTGCATTAAAGGGCACAAAGTGCGGTTGACTTCTCTGACAGGACTTCTGCGAAAGGTCTTGTGCCCGAGTAAAGAGAAAATGGCGCGGGAGAGGGTGCTGGACATCCCTCATGTATGACAGAAAAGAATTTACTTGAAAAAAAGTGCGTCGCACTCGTGCAATGCTACTTGTTGAGATAATCTCGAGGAAAATTCAAACCATCGCATTGCATTAATTTTGAAAATACCGAGCTATTTTTTGATCCTAGCTTTCTTGACATATATTTCATGATAATATAAAAAATACAAGCTATTACCCTTTTAAATTATGAAATATATATTTTAAAAACTTTTAAAAATATTAAAATTTCTTAGAATGAAATCTCTTAATTCTCTACAATTTTTTCTTTGAAATAAGAATATATAAAATATATAAAAATAAATATAAAAGAATTAAAAGAAAGAAAAGATCTTGTAATATTCCCTTCATTCATTATGACGAAGAAATTGAATGATGATAAAGATCGTAAATATTGTGATGATATATATTATTAAACACACGACGAATTTTTCACTATTTCTTTCAAAGAACACGCTCTGCTAGATGAGTTAAAAAAAATCACGTCTCCAAAAAGTTGACAGCCATCATGGTCCATTTGTTCATACGGATCAGCGATGCGTGCAATGTGTTCCGAATAGATAGAAGATCAAGAGAGATTTCTTATGTAGGAAAAATTCTGCGTGCTCATCCGAATGAATCGGCACGCACTACGGTAGATTTCTGTAATATTAGAAATGAGACGTCACACCCTCCTCTTCCGCTTTCTGGAGAGAAAGGACGAAAATGTTTCGCCGTTTTTAATAAAGAAGTTAAAAAGTGACAGATGTTGGAGAAATATCCTTTAACCTTTTTGTACTTCTTTTAAAAGATAGAAGCAAAATGGAAGCGGACAATTAATCTTCCCCTTTAGACAAATACATAAATTGTAACTTCTTGCTGAGATATCTTGTCATGAAAAAATTTGAATTATATTATATTATGTAATCACATTAATTAATAATTACTAGGCTGTAATTTGCAAAGAATTTCTTTATATTTCGGAGTAATTTAAAAATTACCAAGTATCAAAAATATCTTATTACGATTAACTTTTTAATAATAGCATTCGCTGCTAAAATTACTGATATTACTAGACGTAATAATTATTATCATAAATGTGTTTCATAAATATAATAAACTTTTTTGCCTCGACCAATTTATTTGTTTTATATGTATTCATGTTATCGATTTTTAATAAATAACATACACACCTTCAGTCATTTAATTACATATTTCAAGTTTCAATCAATTTTTTTATGCTCTAACATCACTCAATCAATTTTTTATACTTGAACAAATATTTGATACTTCACTTTCGAAATTTGCCTTTTCATGACAGTTGACAATTTACAATGTACTCATGTAACTGTGCTTTTTATAGAAACTGTCGAAAAAAATATTAATGAAGCAAATATGTACCGCTTCAGGGCAATTTTGACAAATGCATAACGGTGTATTTTCTATACGAATCATGTGACAGGAAATCCATTTGTTTACACTGAGTCACGGTTATTAATACCGCGCGTTTCGTTATATCGTTCCATTTCGTTTTTCCCATCCCATCACACCTTTTCACGAGTGCAAACTCTGACGCTTTTTATCGTTTATGTCTAACCATTGAGAATGATTCTGTAAGAGATGGCACTCGCGATAAATATACTCATGCCTGAATAGGATTGCCTAGTCGCAAAAGTTCGTCTCGAAAGAATATATATTAAGACATTCATAAAATCGGTCACATTGATTTATATTTTATGACCCTAAAAGCGAGAGGCCCTTGAAATCTTCACGCTACATTTTGCGTCACAAAGACTTTATTCATAAATAGCGACTTGTATATGTAACATTTTATGTATATGTTTGTATATTACAAAACAAAATTAATATTTATACTTAGGAAAAAATCAGCTTGTGCTTAATGATAAGAAATAATGATAAGAAATAATGATAAGAATAATAAAATAATTATTTTTCAAATTTACGTATTTTTGACATTAATATTTAACAGTGATTTATATCATAAATTTTAATTGTCTTATGATATCAAATACTATCAAAGACGATAAGAGTACATCTTAATTCAACGGATAATTCTTTTGAATTAATAACCACAACGTATTTTAAATTTTGAATTAATAATCACCACGTATTTTAAATTTTTTATATTTGAATATTGAGTAAAATATATCAATCATAATTGTTTTCATCAATATGTTTGTAAAATCTCTTTTTATCAAGGAAGGAGCGGAAATTATTAGTAAAGAATTAAAAAATGAAAATGATGCTGGTGAGATTCTCGAGAAAAAATTCATATTCTTCAAATTTCGGTTTTTTATCATACAATTTTTCAAATCGATTCGTCAAAAAACTCAACTCCACACAGAAATTCCCATTTATCCCCATAGTGAATCACTCCAATAAAAGCAGAAATAGGATTTATATCGGTTAAAATATAGAATATATATCGGTTAAAGGATATATTGGTTAAATACACACCAAAATCAAATGAAAAAGAGGAAATAACGACAGAGACATCGACAATCAAAAACTGTTTTGGCATTTAGTGAAAAAAATGAACGAAAAAGATGAGGGAAAAACGGTGAAAAATAAAACAATAGGGGAAAAATAGCTTGTTGTCTTTCTCTCAAAGTAGACGAGAATGAAAGATGGACCGAAAGCACAAAACGCGCTTTCGGCGCTCTCTCCGCGTAAAGTTAAAAGTTAAAAGGGGATGACTAATGTAAACTAGTTCGAAACTCGTTAAGCAACGTGAGTCCGGTCGTGTCGTCGAGTTTGTATAACGAATACGAGTTCGTTGATGCGTATTTTTTTTTCTTTTTTTCTCTTTTTTTACCCGTAGTTTATTTTACACACAACGCGACGCCTTTTTCCTATCGGTCGCTTTTGCGTCTGATCATTCTTTCATCGTCATCGCAAACGCATTTACCGTTTCCCGTGAAAAATGGCGAATCCGATACGAGAGGGCGGATACATAGTTCCGCCTCCTGTTTACATCAACGGATCTCGATAGTTGAGCTTTAGTACGGTTAATGGAAATGCATTTGCGTCGTTTGTCGACTCATTGTTTGTTCGTCTATCTGCACAATCTTCATCTCGTGGTATATTTATTTATTATCATTTTTCATGTATTTATTATGTACATTATTAAATAATTGAGATTAAGATATGAAATTGTATTTCGGTTATTCAAACAACGCGATAGAAGACAAGATCAGTGCTGTTATAGCAGCAAAGTAAATATCGAGCATTTGTATTTTACTTACTTTACTACGAAGTGCAATATATTATCAGATGATTTATTATTTATTGCATCATTGTTGCGCAGAATACATAACAGTAAAATAGGATATCGACGCTTTCGTTAACTGAAATCAAAGATATTTTGTATTATCTGTTAAGTGGCATGTCAAGTTCAATATTATGTAGAGATATGTGCACATTTTCATAATACTTAATACACATATAATTATTCTTACTGTGGCAAAAAACTCTAAGGATAATGTAGATATTCCACCAAGACTCAGGTTCATGGTTTTGCTACCCCTTTGCAAGAGAAACAATATTAACCTCTGTATACGTAAAGGTGTTCCGTACCATTGAACATTATATCTATGGAATAATAGCTAGGTATTAAATTTATTATTGGAAAATTAATAATTAATAATAATTTTCAAAATATATGCGTATGCGCCTTATGAAACCCATTAAAACAATTACTCTTAATAAATGTCAAATAATGACCACCCTCAAGTCCACAAAAAATCTATTAGAATATATATATTTTTTATCAGCATCATATATTTCTTACATTGTAAAAAACACGTCGTTATTATGATCTGTAAGTTCTTGACCGGCATAGTTAGCAAGAAACAAATATACGAAAATGACAGTTACAATTATAAAATGAAATAAAAATTTATCAACTTTGTCTCCATGGGATACAATCTTAGATATCTAAAACAATATTGTAATTAATATTTCACATGTATAAAAAAAATAAATAAAGAATTGGAATTATTCACATAAGATCACGAAAAAATTCTTTCAGTTTATAAGAATTTGTAAAAAGTTTTTTATTCTTTTACTCTTCTTCCTCGATAAATTATTACAAAATATTATGTTGATTCAAAAATAAATTTCACAACGCGAGGAAAACTCACTGCGTAAAAGTTCAGACTCAAACAAATAACACCAACTACTATCAAAAAGAAATGTGATAAGTGAAGATAGGAAAATAAAAATGTGGAGAACCTTTAACAAGAAAAAATATTATTATATTTATGCATTTTATATAATTATTATTGAATAAATACTAACTTGATAGCAGTACGATGAATATCTATGGCATAAATTATTCCTTTATACATTATAATTTCATTCTTTGGCCAAACATTGTTTCGCATATTTATTGCTTTCTCTATGCGATAACTGTAAAAAGATTTTTTACTGCAATTATATGAATTTCTCACATATAAAAAAAGATTTATCGATACAATGTATTTCAAATTCCCATAATACAAAATTTCGTTAGTTATTATAGCAAGAAAAAGGCTTGATGAAAATATTAATTTGTTAAAAATAGTTATATTAAAAACGCATATTATTTCATTAAATTGCATAAACAAATTAATTCGTCTTTTGATGAAATAAAGTTTTACTGCAAAGCAGGACATATTTAAAAGTGAATTATTTTCTTGAATATTAGATTTGTATATTTGTAAACAAGATTTTCTATTGTATCGATGAAACAAATTTTGCTTTGGTATCAAATAATTCATTAAAAGTGAAATTTTTAATTATTTTAAAATTCTATATATAATTTGGACAGCCAAATTTCTATTTCCATTTAAACAAATTATTTTAAAGAAGACACATTAAATAATATTTCATTTAATTTGTTTTTATTATTCGATTTATTACTACTGCTTACCTGGCAATTCTAAGCATTCCACAGGCATGTTTAAGATAAGCAATGAGCATCATTCCTGTTGCAAACATTGCAGTTCCTCCAATACATATTGATGCATCCGTAAACAGTAAAATTAAATATAAATAATTTTCTCGAGCGAGAAAATATTTAGGCGCAAATGTATATATTACATAATGTGATTCAGATATGTTTATATGCAAAATAAATTCAAAAAGGCGTCGCATAATTGGTAATGAAACAATTGGCAAAACAACAATTAGATTGCATATATAAAACACTACAAATATTTAATAGATAAGAAATAAATTTCATATATAACAATAGATAAATTTCATAGACAATAATAGATTAAAATTTTTATGTAACTCAAAAATTACTTTTAATCATTTCATTGCTTAGATGCATTGCATATTTTTGCAGATTACTGCTTAAAATTTTAGCTCCTATTTTTAATATTTTTATTCTATCCTCTTTTAATATAATAATTAAAATAAAATGAAAATATTTTTATTCCGCACAAATTTGTCATCTATTATACTTGGATATGTGCTTATTTGCATATGTTATCACATTCTTACATCATTCTGACATATAAAAATTTGATAGCTAAATATATATATATTGAGTAATGAAATAATCAATTTGACGATTTGTAATGTATCTTAATTGCATTTTACTTCACAATATGAGCTACATATCAATAAACGTGTGTATATGTTTGTATATATTGACTTACACATAATAGTAAAAGTAAAACGTTTTAAGTTGTCCCCGTATTTCTTTATAATAGCAATTTCTTCTTCATCTCTTAATTCGTTACAGATATTCTGAAGTTCCTCCAAAGGACGTTCTACCTATTATCAATAATATTTTTCAATGCACAATTCGTTACATATTTTTAAGAAGATTTTAAGAAGATATTATTATGTGTAAAGAACCTCACTTATATCACATATGTTTATTTCGTGTGTAAAGAAATTTTAACTTACAATTGTAGTGAAATTATACCAAAAAGAATTGTACAAAATCGCAAACATAATGAAAAATAATCCTATGGAGAAAATGTTGATGAAAAGATCAAGAGAGAATTCTTCAGTAACAAAGGATGAAAACTGCAAAATCAATAAATTTATTAAAAAAATAAAATACCAATTCTTTTGTTAATCGTCAACTAACTGCAAATATATAATATAATCAACTGAGGCAATTAATTAAAAATAAGAAATAACAGTGAAGTAATAAATTAATAGTTGTCATAATAAAATAAAATTTATATTATTAATAATTAACACAACAAACATATGGTAATAATATCTAAAAGCTGCAATAATTATCCACACATTTTTGCACTCGTAGGAATTTGAATAAAAATAAATGAATATATTTATAATTAAAAAATACGAACGTACCACAATTATGACAAAATTAACTAGGATGCTGAAAAACAGAATTAGTTGAAATTGAACGAGCTTTGATCGTTGGCAAGGCCATAAGCCAATCGCGAGCAAAAAAATTCGATGCAAGCTAAAATGCCGAGACTTTATAGAGATCATCACTTCGCCAAAGTGGAGACACATCTGAGACTGAGAAAAAGTGACGGCGGGTCGCGTATCCCCCCCCCCCCTTCGGAAGGATCGATAAAACCGTATTATAAAAAAAAGTGTCGACTCTTAGCTTAAATTATAGTAAATTGCATAATTCAATACAAATGATAATACAAGCGATAGGCAAAATATCAAATAAAACATTCATAATTTCATGTCTGCGGAAAGGGACGGAGCGATTACGCAATCGACGCCGAGGAAAAAATTTACTGCAAATTCATCTCCTAGAAAATAATTCTTGAGACGATTTGTTGATCGAAGTCTGCGCAAGCGTGTTTGTCATTTTTCAGCGCGAACAATTTCACAATTGCGTCTCATTCAATTGTGTACATTCATGCAACACGTTTCTTTCATTAGAAATACATTCTCTTACGTATCGAAACATTATTTATATAATTCTCTCGTCAATAAAGTGCAAAATATATCACGAATTGTAACGTGTAAAAGTTTAGTACAATTATACGAGATAAATAACTCAAAAACTTTCCAAATCGTATTAAAACATATATGTCTTTATATACATATATATTATGTACATAAGAAATAAAAATCTAAAGGAAGCTGAGATTTTTAAAAAAAAGTACACTGCAAAAAATCTTCAAAGCACTATGAGATCTTACCGTGCAAAGATGCAGAATAAGGACGAATGAAGAACTGAAAAACCTATTTGAAAATATAGATATTATTCAGGAAATATTAATAGAGGTGTGGCAATAAAATCCGGCAGGAAGAAGACTCATAGGAGCCACGATTAAAATAACATCATTAGTGAGGATAATGCGATAAGTACGATTGTGTAGTGATGATTGAGAAATGAATGAAGGTGAATTAATATCTTTATTATTATATAAAATTATTATTATTATATAAAAATATATAATTCAAATGTTATAACGTACATTATAAATCGATTTGATTCAATACATAAATCAAATAACATATCTTCTCGTTTTGTGGAGAACGATCGCGAGATGTGATTTAAAACAATACATATTACTATCTCTAATAACTTTATTCAATACTTGAGTTTACTAATAAATTCTAACATGTAAATGGTATAATTTATTTTTTGCATTAATCTTGCATGGAATATATGACCGTAAAATAGGATGTCGACACCTTCATTAACTAAAATCAAATACATCTTATATTATGTTTTCTGCCAAATTGTATATCATGTATATTATATAAACATATATGTATGTCTATAATATATTTAATACGTGTAACGGGGGGGACGGGGGGGGGGGTATATATACATGTATTTTTCTTACCGAAGCGAAAAATTCTAAGGATAATATGAACACTCCGCCAAAATTCAGATTTACGTTTTTGTTACCCCTTTGCAAGAGAAACAGTATCAATTTTTGTATGCGCAACGGTGCTACGTACCATTGGACATTATATCTGTGAAACAATAACTAGGTAATAAATTTGTTATTGCAGAAAATGTAGTAATATCTTCAACACATGTGAATATGAAACATTAAGATAATATATATTAATGAATATTGAATAATGACCCAAGTCTGTAAACAATTTATTTTCGTTCATTTTTTTTCTGGGAGCACCATATGTTTCTTACACGGTGAGAAATACGTCGTTATTGTGATCCGTAAGTTCTTGACCCATGTAATTGAAGAAAAACAAGTATACAAAAATGCCGATTATAATTATGATGTGAAAAAATTGATCAATGCTGTTTTCATGCAACGCAATCTTAGCCACCTAACACACAAGATTGCAATTAATCTTTCATATGTATAAGGAAGAATAGATAAAAAATTAGAATTACAAAGACAAGATTATAAAAATTTCTTTTCGATTTATGTATATTATGAGAGTTTACTAATACAAACATTTTTTTCCTTTTCTTTAAATAAAAGTTATTGCGAAGTGTTATTGTTGATTCAAGATTACATTTGACAGTGCGATAAAAACTCACTGCGTAAAGATTCAGAGTTAAACAAATCACAGCAACTATTACGAAAGCGAACAGTGATAAATGAAGACTGAAAAATATGATTGTGGAGAACCTTCAACAAAAAAAAATATATTTACGTGTTTTATATAATCATTGTTAGATAAATACGAACTTGATAGCTGTACGATGAATATGTATGGCATAAATTATTCCTTTATACATTATAGCTTCATTCTTTGGGCAAATATTGTTTCGTATATTTATTGCCTTTTTGATGCGATAACTGTAGAAAGATTCTGTTGCAATTATAATAATTTTTCACATGAACAGAGAAATTTATTGATATATTTCCCCTTTCACCCGTACTTCACTAGTTATAATAGTACGAAAAAGGTTGATAAAAAATATTAATTTGTTAAAAATAGTGATACTGCATATTATTTCGATAAATTGCATAAGTTGCATAAGTTACAAAACAAATTAATTCTGATTCGGATATTGAAATGAAGTTTTATTGCAAAGCAAAATAAATTTACTAAAAGTAGATTGTTTTCATTAACAGCAAATTTCCACAACAATTTATGTATATTTCCACAACAATTTTTGTATGTTCTAGAAAGAATTAAAATCTATTACCAACAAAAAAATTTTTACTTTAGTATCAAATAATTCTTTAAAAATAAAGTACAATACTTGAACGTCAAATACACACACACAGCCATTATTTTGACAAGCAATTATTTTATTCAGCAAAATTTCTTTTTCCTAAACCTATTAATAAATCTATAATATCTATAATAATCTAAACCTATTAATAAATCTATAAAATCTATAATAATCTAAACCTATTAATAAATATATTTTGACAAAGAGATAAAATTAAACAAAATATTTTGACATTTCATTCTATATTTATTAATTTACCTGGCGATTCTAAGCATTCCACAGGCATGTTTAAGATATGCAAACAACATCAATCCTGTTGCAAGAAATGTTGTTGCACCAATACAAACGATAGCGTCAAAATACAGTAAAACTACACATAAGTAGTTTTTTCGGTCAACAAAATACTTAGGTATATATTTATATAATATGTGACGTAATTCAGATTCGCTTATATGCAGAGCAACAGTAAAAGTATTCGGCATAATAGACAATGAAATGGTTGGTAAAAGAATAATTAGGTCGCATATATACAACACTAAAAATATTTAATAGAACAATTACAAATACATTTTAATTATTTTGAATGCTATTTTACTGCTTGGATTTCTCACTTATTTTAGACTTTATTTACCGCATGTATTTGTAGAATACTGATTAAAGTGTTACTTTTATTATTCAAAAATTTTATTTTAAACATAAAAAGAACTAAGTACTTATGAAACTATTGCCATTCCATATGTTCCAATATGTTGTATTATACAAATTGTTTTCTATTACATATAGAAAATCACGTTCAATTGTGTACTTGTATTAAATAATAAAATAATTAATCAAACTAATTTGAAAATTTATCTTGTATGATTATGATTTATATGATTACATTTTAAAACATATATATGGCTTAAAATAAGTATTATATATCAATAAATGTGTGTGTATGTGTGTGTGTGTGTGTGCGTATGCTGACTTACCCAAAGCATAAAAAGTAAAACGTTTTATATTATCTCCATATTTTTTCATAATAACAATTTCTTCTTTGTCTTTTAATTCGTTACAGATATGCTGAAGTTCCTCCAAAGGACGTTCTACCTATTATGTGAATAATAATGTAAGGAATGCAAAACTTTTTTTAATTTTTAACCGGAACTGTAGAACGATGGAAAGTGCTATCAAAACAGTTAGTATTTTTTTAAATTTACATTGTCGTGCTAGCTTTCCAGCTTTACAGACATTAACTTATATTAAATATGTTTATTTCGTATAGAGAAAAAACAAAATTCTTTAACTTACAATTTCAGTAAAATTATACCAAAAAGCATTGTACATAATCACATACATAGTAAAAACCAATCCTACAGAAAAAGCATTGATGACATGATCAAAAGTAAATTCTGTAGTGATAAGTGTTAGAAGCTGCAATGAATTTATTACAAAAACAAGATAACTACTTTTTTATTTTATTAATTAAATATATAGTATAATCAACTGCTTCTATACGAGACAGTTAATCATATATAAGGAATAATAGTGGCACAACTAATTATTAATTATGACAGTCATATATAATTAATAATTACAATTAATAATACATATTTTATAATTAATAAAAATGCAATATAATAAATGTATGACAACTAAAAGTTGCAACAATTATACACACATACATATTTATTCACACAACTAAGAATATGATTAAAAAATATATGAAGATACCTGAAATCCAATAGAACTAACCAGAATACCGAAACATAAAATCATTTGAAATTGAACGAGCCTTGATCGCTGACAAGGCCATAAACCAATCGCGAGTAAAAGAATACGATGCACATTAAAATGCCGATTCTTTATAGAGATCATTGCTTCGCGAGAGTTCAGAAGCGACTGAATGCGAGAAAGGAAGGATTGCATATCCCCCTCCTTTCAAAGGATCGATAAAATCGAGTACATTATAGAATTTTCGACTCTTAGTGTAAATTATAGTATAAACAGTCTAATTTAGTGTAAATGATAAGTGCTAGAAATAAAAATGATAAATGCATGAAACGTAAGGTGCTAGAAAAATATAATTGAAACATCTGTAATTTTATGTCTTCACCCGGAAAGCGACGGAGCGATTACGCGATCGATAGATTTAATGCCGAGAAAAAAATTTACCCCTTATAAATTTATCCCTTATAAAAACATTATCGTGATAATTTGTTGATTGATGGAAGTCTGCGCAAGCGTGTTTGTCATTTTTCTTCGCGAACAATTTTATGTGTTTCATTCGATTGTGTACATTCGTGCAACACGGTTCTCTCTTTAAAAATTTTCTTACGTATCAAAACATTATTTATATAATTCTCTCATCAATAAAATGCAAAACATTGCGAATTGCAATAAATGTTAAATTTTAATATAATTATAATAGATAATTAACTCAAAAACTTTCCAAATCACACAAGTTAAAGCATACATGTCTTTATGAATAACATATGTATATCTCTCATAGTATCGTGTGACTGCAAACAAGCTAGAAAAAATGAATACAAACTGTTATTATGATATTCGATGCATATTAATATTAGGAAAAATAGGGAATCAAAACTACAACTATATGATCATAATTAAGAATATCAAACAATCATAATACAAATTGTAAATTGAATGTGAAACCTAGACTGTAATAAAAGATAATAAAAGAAAGCTGAGATGTTTTGAAAGAAAAATACTCAAGAGGACAACCACTCGGATCCGCGCAAGAATATAGATTAAGAACGAATTAAGAACTGAAGAATTTATTTAAAAATCTAGATATTTTTCAGAAAATAAAGTTAAGAAAACTGAGATGGACAAGTTAAAAAAACTGAGAACTGAGACGACAGGAAAATAGGTTAATGAAACTTGTATGACAATAACATCCAGCTGACAGAAAAACCTTAAGAAGGCTAAGATAACGTGATATTAACAATGAGCTGAGGAGAATATGATATGAATACAGCCTTGCAATGATGATGGATAAAGATAAATGGAAGCGAATTGTTCAATCAAAATTCATCTTGGATCAATTTATCGTTTAAAAGCGCTATGAAAAAGAAGCATTCCATAGTGGACAACATAGGTAAATAATTATTAAATAATTATAAGAAATTAAATTACTAGGCTTGTCGTCCTTTATTCTTTAAAAAAATTGCAATATTATGTATTGCAATATTATATATATTATATTAAACATTTTTTCTCGAATCAGTATATATATTTATGAGTGTAAAAAATATATATTTAAATTTAATTACAGCTTTCTTTATCATTATATAAAATTATTATTATTATATAAAAATATATAATTCAAATGTTATAACGTACATTATAAATCAATTGATTCAATACAATCAAATAACATATCTTCCCGTTTTGTAAAGAACGATCGCGAGATGTGATTTAAAACAATACTACTATCATACAACTACTATCATAAAACAATATTACTATCTCCAATAACTTTATTCAATAGTTGAGTTTACTAACAAATTCTAACATGTAAATAGTATAATTTATTTTTCTGCATTAATCCTGTACAGAATACATGACAGTAAAATAGGATGTCGACGCCTTCATTAACTAAAATCATGTACATGTTATATTATGTTTTCTGCCAAATTGTATATCATGTATATTATATAAACATATATGTATGTCTATAATATATTTAATATACATGTAACGGGGGGGAGAGGCGGGGAAGAAGGTAATATACATGTATTATTCTTACCGAAGCGAAAAATTCTAAGGATAATATGAACATTTTGCCCAAATTCAGATTTACGTTTTTGTTACCCCTTTGCAAGAGAAACAGTATCAATTTTTGTATGCGCAACGATGCTACGTACCATTGGACATTATATCTGTGAAACAATAACTAGGTAATAAATTTATTATTGCAGAAAATGTAATAATATCTTCAACACATGTAAATATGAATCATTAAGATAATATTATATATATTAATGAATATTGAATAATGTCCCAAGTCTGTAAACAATTTATTTTCGTTCACTTTTTTTGGGAGCACCATATGTTTCTTACACGGTGAGAAATACGTCGCTATTGTGATCCGTAAATTCTTGACCAATGTAATTAAAGAAAAACAAGTATACAAAAATACCGATTATAATCATGATGTGTAAATATTGATCAATACTCTTTTCATGCAACGCAATCTTAGCCACCTAACACACAAGATTGCAATTAATCTTTCATATATATAAGGAAGAATAGATAAAAAATTAGAATTACATAGACAAGATTATAAAAATTTCTTTTCGATTTATGTATATTATTATAGTTTACAAATACAAACATTTTTTTTTCTTTTTTTTTTAAATAAAAGTTATTGCGAAGTGTTATTGTTGATTCAAGTTTACATTTGACAGTGCGGTAAAAACTCACTGCGTAAAGATTCAGACTCAAACAAATCGCAGCAATTATTATAAAAAAGAACAATGAAAAGTGAAGATAGGAAAATAAAAATGTGGAGAACCTTCAATAAGAAAAAAAAATATATTTACATGTTTTATATAATCATTGTTAGATAAATACGAACTTGATAGCTGTACGATGAATATGTATGGCATAAATTATTTCTTTATATATTGTAGCTTCATTCTTTGGACAAATATTATTTCGTATATTTATTGCCTTTTCAAAGCGATAACTGTAGAAAGAAATTCTGTTGCATTTATATTAATTTTTCACATGAAGAGAGAGATTTACTGATATATTTCGCCTTTCACCAGTTATAATAGTATGAAAATGGTTGATAAAAAACATTAATTTGTTAAAAACAGTGATACTGCATATTATTTCGTTAAATTGCATAAGTTACAAAACCAATTAATTCTGATTCGGATATTGAAATGAAGTTTTATTGCAAAGCAAAATAAATTTACTTAAAGTGCATTGTTTTCCTTAACAGCAAATTTCCACAACAATTTTTGTATGTTTCTAGAAGGAATTAAAATCTATTACCAACAAAAAAATTTTTACTTTAGTATCAAGTAATCCTTTAAAAATAAAATACAATACTTCAATGTCAAATATTCGCACAGTCATTATTTTGACAGCAAAATTTTTTTTTCCTAAACCTATTAATAAACCTATAACATCTATATATCTATAATCTAAATCTATAATCTAAATCTATTAATAAATCTATTTTAACAAAGAGATAAAATCTTGGATAAAATTAAACAAAATATTTTGACATTTCATTCCATATTTATTAATTTACCTGGCGATTCTGAGCATTGCACAGGCATGTTTAAGATATCCAAACAACATCAATCCTGTTGCAAGAAATGTTGTTGTACCAATACAAACGATAGCATCAAAATACAGTAAAACTATATATAAGTAGTTTTTTCGATCCACGATATACTTAGGTATATATTTATATAATATGTGACGTAATTCAGACTCGCTTATATGCAGAACAACAATAAAAGTATTCGGCATAATAGACAATGAAATGGCCGATAAAAGAATAATTAAGTCGCATATATACAACACTAAAAATATTTAACAGAACAATTACAAATACATTTTAATTATTTTGAATGCTATTTTACTGGTTGGATTTTTCACTTATTGTAGATTTTATTTATCGCATGTATTTTTAGAATACTGATTAAAGTGTTACTTTTATTATTCAAAAATTTTATTTTAAATATAAAAGAAACTAAGTACTTATGAAACTATTTCCATTCCACAATATGTTGTATAATACAAATTGTTTTCTATTATATATAGAAAATAACGTCCAATTGTGTACTTGTATTAAATAATAAAATGATTAATCAAACTAATTTGTAAATTTATCTTGTATGATATGATTATATTTTAAAACATATACATGGCTTAAAATAAGTATTATATATCAATAAATGTGTGTGTGTGCGACTTACCCAAAACACAAAAAGTGAAACGTTTCATATTATCCCCATATTTTTTCATAATAACAATTTCTTCTTTGTCTTTTAATTCGTTAGAAATATGCTGAAGTTCCTCCAAAGGACGTTCTACCTATTATGTGAATAATAATATAAGGAATGCGAAACTCTTTTTAATTTTTAACGGGAACTGTAGAACTATGAAAAGTGCTATCAAAACAATTAATATTTTTTTTTAAATTCACATTGTCGTGCCAGACATTAACTTATATTAAATATGTTTATTTCATATGAAGAAAAATTCTTTAACTTACAATTTCAGTAAAATTATACCAAAAAGTATTGTACATAATCACATACATAGTAAAAACCAATCCTATAGAAAAAGCATTGATGACATGATCAAAAGTAAATTCTACAGTGATAAGTGTTAGAAGCTGCAATCAATAAATTTATTACAAAAACAAGATAACTATTTTTTAATTTTATTAATTAAATGTATAGTATAATCAACTGCTCCTATAAGGGATAGTTAATCATATATAAGGAATAATAGTGGCACAACTAATTATTAATTATTACAGTCATATATAATTAATAATTACAATTAATAATACATATTTTATAATTAATAAAAATGCAATATAATAATACAATAAATGTATGACAACTAAAAGTTGCAACAATTATACGCACATACATATTTATGCACACAACTAAGAATATGATTAAAAAATATATGAAGATACCTGAAATCCAATAGAACTAACCAAAATACCGAAACATAAAAGCAGTTGAAATTGGACGAGCCTTGATCGCTGACAAGGCCATAAACCAATCGCGAGTAAAAGAATACGATGCACGTTAAAATGCCGATTCTTTATAGAGATCATTGCTTCGCGAGAGTTCAGGAGTGACTGAATGCGAGAAAGGAAGGGTTGCATCCCCCTCCTTTCAAAGGATCGATAAAATCGAGTACATTACAGAATTTTCGACTCTTGTGTAAATTATAGTATAAACAGTCTAATTTAGTGTAAATGATAGGTGCTAGAAATAAAAATGATAGATGCATGAAACGTAAGGTGCTAGAAAAAATACCATATAATTGAAACACCTGTAATTTTATGTCTTCGCCCCGGAAAGCGACGGAGCGATTACGCGATCGATAGATTTGACGCCGAGGAAAAAATTTACCCCTTATAAAAACATTATCGAGAGAATTTGTTGATTGAAGTCTGCGCAAGCGTATTTGTTCTTTTTCTGCGCAAACAGTTTTATGTGTTTCACTCGACTACATATATACATTCAATACGTGCAATACGTTTCTCTCTTTAGAAATACACTTTCTTATGTGGTCAGACATTAGTCATGTCAATTTTCTCGTCAATAAAATGCAAAACATTGCCAATTGCAATATGTAGAATTATAAATAGTTTAATATCTAATTTTATATAAACGATGCTATCTAGGCTAGAATAAGTATTACATAAGCGAAACATTCGTAATTTTATATTTCCGCATCGCGGAAAGCGACGAGACAATTGCATAATCGATAGATTTATCGTCGAAAGAAAATTTAAGACAATTTTTTTTTCTTCTATAGAGATAATTTGTCAGAGTCCGTGCAAGCGTACTTTTCAATATGATCAGTTCCAGTGTTTCATTCAATTGTATACATTCGTGCGGTGCGTTTCTTTCTTAAAAATACACATTCTCTTATGTGTTGAGATTGGTTACAGTCCATTCGTCAATAACATGCAAAATATTTTGCGCATTAAAAACGTATAAAAATTTGTATGATATAATTTTATAGCAGGTAATTAATAAAAAACTTTCGTATTAAATCGTATTAAAGCACCGTGTCCTAATGTCAACATATCTTTATCTCATCCCTATTAATTTGGCACTCTATCACAAAAAATCAGATATAGTATATAATTAAGTGCTAATTTGTTGCTATAAGTACGAATTTATTGCTCCTATCTTTATTGCTCTCTCCTTAACAGGAAGATTTTGTTAAAGGTGCTAATTTGCTATTAAGCTATTATAGCACCTCCATTTTCGAAAAACACTTATGAATAGTCGCAAATAAAAAAAAATATACTAGAATTTGCTAATTTGTTGCTCAAAAATGTTACAAATAGATTTTGAAAATATTAAATTTTTAAAAGTGCATCAACATGACAAAAATAAAATCATTAAAATAAGTAGTTGACATTTTACAACAAATATATCAGTTTATTATATGAAATTGCTTTTTGTATTAAATACTCCCAAAATAAACCATTTTCCTAATTTATTGTTTATAATCTAATAGCATTACCACCTTTAATATAATTTTCCTGTTAATGAGTAGTAACAAATTAGCCTTTAATTGTACTACATAACTCGGTTTTTTATGATGGAGATCATATTTTTTCAGATTAATAGATAATGTTTATCTTTATAATATCGCGTGATTTAAAAAGTAGGTAAATGATTATCAGAAATTAAATTATCATAGATTTGTAGTCTCTTCGACTATTTAAATAATTATAATATCGATACAGAATAAAATTAATACTTCTCATATGATATGTATTATGTAAGTCATGCAAAATTTCTTTGGAATATTTATATAAATTTGTATATATATATATATATATATATATATATATATATATATGTTTATAAAAAATATTTAAACTTGATTAATTATAACTTCATTTCATTGTAAAAAATATATAATATCTCATGTATTATGAAGATATGTTATAATTGATTTGTATAGTAAGTTACACACACAAATGTGTAATATATTTCTCATTTCTTACTTTATAACGTTTGCGATACGATTAAAAAAAATAGATATGACTACTTCATATAATTTTATTTAAACAATTTCTACAGAATTTAGCAATCTGCGACATGCAATTCTATGATTTATTTTCTTCGTTATTCTTGTATAGAGTAAATAACGGTAAAGTAGGATATTGACATCTTTGTTAACTGCAATCAAGTACGTCTTGTATTATATTGTCTGTCAAATTGTGTCTCAAATATATTATGTAAAAATGTATGTATATATTACATAAATATGTATATTATATATATATATATATATATATATATATATATATATTCGTACTAGTTAATCTACATATAACATAATTATTCTTACCATGCCTAAAAGTTCCAAGGATAAAATAAACACTCCGCCAAAATTCAGATTTACGGTTTTGTTACCTCTTTGCAAAAGAAACAGTATCAATTTCTGTATGCGCAAAGGTGCTACATACCATTGAACATTGTATCTATAAAATAATAGCTAAATAACAAATTTATTATTACAGAAAATAATAATAATCTTCAACACATGTGTGTAAAATATAATACAATAACTTATATTAATGGATACTATTGTATCCGAGCGCAAAACATTTTACTATCATATACATTTATTGTGAGCATATATTTCTTACACAGTGAAAAATACTTCATTATTGTAACTGTAAATCTTCACCGAATAATTAAGAAAAACATGAATACAAAAATGCCAATTATAATTATAGAGTGAATAAAAAATTCATCAATGTTGTTCTCATGCAACATATTCTTAGATATCTAAAACACAATGTTGCGATTAATATTTTACAAAATTAACATTTATTTCATTATATCAAAATAGAATACACAAAAAATTAGAGTTATTTATAAATTTCAATTTCGTGACAAATGAGAAATATATATTTACATAGATAAGATCACGAAAATTTTCTTATAATTAATACATTATCAGAGTTTGCGAATAGTTTTTTTCTTTCTTTCAATAAAAGTTATTATAAAATGCTATACTATTCGTTTAGAAATAAAATTCACAATGTAAACAAAAACTCACTGCGTAAAGATTCAGACTCAAACAAATCACAGCAACTGTTATTAAAGAGAGCAACGAAAACTTCATACAGGTAAATGAAAATGTAAGGAATCTTCAACACAAGAGAAATTATTATTATATTTAAATATTTTATAAAATTATTAGTAGATAAATACTAACTTGATAGCAGTACGATGAATATCTATGGCATGAATTATTCCTTCATACATTATAATTTCGTTCTTTGGGCAAACATTTTGCATACTCATTGCTTTTTCTATACGATAGCTATAGAAAGAATTTTGTAATTAAACTAATTTAATTAAATACTTTTCGTATGAAAAAGACGACTTGCTAAAACAATGTATTTTATGTCCTCATAATAAAAATTTCACCAGCTATTATAGCAAAAAAAAAGATGAGAATATTAATTTATTAAAAGTTGTTTTATCGATGAATATATATTATTTAAATAAATTGCGTAAACTGCAAAATAAATTAATTTTTAAACTATTATTGAGACATAGTTCATTGTCAAGCAAAATGCATTTACATTATATTTTTATATAGCAATTATATCTTGTGTTATTATTATGTGTCCACAAGCAAACAAAACTTTCCTATTGTACTAAGAAAACAAATGCTTGTTTAGTATCAAATAATTCACTCAAAATAAATTTAATCATTTCAACATCCAATATGTACTTACTTTAACAGCGTGATTATTTTAAGAGTAAAGTTTTTTTTTCTAAATCTATTTTATCTTTCTCTAAATCCATATTTTAAAGGAGAAATAGCATTAAACAATAAATTTATATTTATTTCTATGTTTATTACTTTACCTGGCAATTTTAAACATTCCACAGGTATGTTTAAGATATGCAATTAACATCGATCCTATTGCAATTGTTGCAATTTCTCCAATAAAAAATGATGCCTCAAAGTGCAGCACCATCACATATAAGTAGATATTTTGATCAGCAAAATATTTAGGTATAAACTTAGATAATATATCACGTGCTTTAGATTCGCTTATATGCAAAGCATCGCCAAAAATACGTATCAAAATTGGCAATGAAATGATTGGTGTAACAACAATTATATTGCATATAGTCAACACTACAAATATTCAGTACGTAAGAACAATATCAATTTGAAATTATTTTTAACTATTTTAATGCTTGGAATCTCGATTTACTTTTAACTTTATTTCTCGCATATTTTTGCGAAACATTGATTAAAATACTAACTCTTATTATTCAAATTTTTTCTACATTTTTTAAATATAATAAGAAAAAAACACAATATTATTAGACATTATAAAAATATTCCCACATTCTGCATAAATTTATTCCCATTATACAATTAAATAGCTTTCTATATTATATTTATAAATCTCTATGTGTTTATGAACACGTATACGGTTGTGTATTATAATCTTATTATAACCTTATGCTATTCTGATATGTAGAAAGTGAAAGCCAATTATATAATTGCATTGAAATGATTAATCAAACTAATTTAGTAATTTATATTATATTAAGATTATTAGATATTTTGCCTTATAAAATATAATTACATATCAATGAATGTATGTGTTTTGACTTACGTATTATAAAAAAATTAATACGTTTCATACTGTCTCCGTACTTTATCATAATAGCAATTTCTTCTTTGTCTTTTAATTCATTACAGATATGCTGAAGTTCCTTTAAGGGACGATCTACCTATTATGCGAATAACACCACAATCTTACACATACTTTTGCAGCACACAATTTGATGTAGATTTTTAAGAGAATTATTGTATGAAAAGTCTCACTTATATATCAAATATATTTATTTCATACGGAGGAAAGACGAAATTTTAACTCACAACTTTAATAAAGTTACGTCGACAACTATCGTATACAATCACATACATGACAGAAATCAATAGTGTAGAGAGCATGTTAATGACAAGATCAAAAGTAATTTCTTCAGTGAGAAATGATACAAACTGCAAAATCAAATTTATTAGAAAAAATAAAATATTAATTTTTTTTTATTTTGTTAAAATAACTTGACAATATTTTTTATTTTATTAAATTAAAAATAATCAATTACTTTCCAAAGCAGTTAATTATATGTAAGACTTAATAGCGTGTGGACAATAAATTAATAGTGATTCCAATATAAGATTTATATCATATATATTATTATGTTAATTATTATATATTATTATGTTAATTAACATAATAATATAATTAATATAATAAGTACATGATAATAATAATTAAAAATTGCAAACTTATGTAAGTTTGGACACAACTTAAAGAATAACATATGAACATACCTGAGAAACAACAAAACTAACCATGATGCTAAAAAGCAAAATAAACTGAAATTGAGTGAGCCTCGATTGTTGATCAGGCCATAAGCCAATCATGAGTAAAAGAATCCGATGCAAATTAAAATACTGAGTCTTTATGCAGATCATCACTTTATGATAGTCGAGACTTGTCTGACTACGGAAAGATGACGGTGGATCGTGTACCCCTCCTTTCGAAAGATCGATAAAATTGGATATGTTATAGAATTTCGACTCTTAGCGTAAATTATGGTCTAAATGTAATTTTATATAAACGATAATATAAAGTGCAGTTAGAGCAAATATCACATAAACAAAACATTCGTAATTTTATGTCAACATTCGTAGTTTTATATTTTCGCTTCGTGGAAAGTGAGGGGACGATTATGCGATCGATATAGCGTAAATTATAGTGTAAATCGCCTAATTCAATATAAATGATAATACACAGGTGGTAGACAAAATATCATATAGTCCAAACCTCCGTAATTTCACGCTTTCTGCGCGAAAGGTGACGAAACGATTACCCGATCGATATAATTGGCATCGAGAGCAAATTTAACACAAATTTTTTTCTGCTATAAAAAACATTCTAAAGACAATATGAATTCCGCGCAAGCGTACTTGTCCTTTTTCAACATCAATTGCATTTGTCATTCGATTGTGTACATTTGTGCGATGTCCTTCTCAAGAGAAATGTTAGTTTTATAATACTGAGAAATCAGATCTCGCTGACAAAGTGCGAAACATGCTGCGAATTGCAAATTAGAAGCTTAATACGCATTTATAGCGAGAACTTTCGTTAATTATGAATCGTGTATAAAGCATAAATATTTAAGCACAGGTCAGTGTACGCATATTATTATATCGTAACGTAGCAAAAAATAGATATTTATTATCAGATTTTAAATAACTGTAAATTTATGATTGTCTCAGCTATACAGTGCACAATCCATAAGAAATAAAATTAACTTGAAGTAAATTTAAATTTATTGTTTGATACAAATTATTTAATTCGTGCATAGTTTGTTTGAATAATGTTTTATGTTTAAATCCTACAATACATTCACTTCAAAGAGTGTGATATGTAGAAAATATTTAAATTTTATTAATTATAATATACTATTTCATTTAGAGAAATAATTTCTATATATTTCCCTTATGCCTCTTGCATAGAATACATAACGGTAAAGTAAGATAATGATGCCTTTGTCAACTAGAATCAGATATGTTTTATGTAATTTTCGTCCGAACCGCGTGTTTTAAGTATACAATAATATAGAATAATAATACATTAATGTAATATATTATACACAAGTGATAACTTTTACCGTGGCAAAAAGCTCGAAAGATAATATAATTACTCCGCCAAAATTCATGTTGAATGTTTTGCTACCCTTTTGCAAAAGAAATAGTATCAGTTTCTGTACATGTAAGGGTGTAATATACCATTGAACATTATATCTGGACAGAAAAATAAAGAAATAAATCGATAATTGAATAAAGATCAGTAGCAATAATATTCAACATACGCATATGTATGTGAAATGTTAATTTTAAGCTTCAATTAAATTATTAAAATTCTTAACAAATTAATATGATGATAAATATGTAAACATATATAGTATCTCTTACACGGTAGAAAATACGTGATCATTGTGATTTGTAATTTCTTGTCCAGCATAATTGATACAAAACATATAGATGAACATCAGAAAGGCAATTAAAAAATGAATTAATAATTGTCCAAAATCTCCATTTGATGCATACATGGCAATCTATAACACAATGTTGCGGTCAATCTTTACGTGTATTTTACGTGTAACTTGATCATTTTACAGAGTTAAAATTTTAAAAATATGTCTTTCAATCTCCTGATATCATGCAATGCACGATATTGCATGCACTCGTCCAAAAATAAATTTAACGATCCGAGAAACACTCACTGCATAAAGATTAAGGCTTAAACAGATCACAAGAATTAAGATCAAAAGAAGATGCGATTTTTGAAAACTGCCCGATAAAAATACGATTAACCTTAAAAAAAAAAAGAAATTATTATATATTATATTACAATATATAAACAATATTTGAATACTAACCTGACAGCTTCACGATGAATATCTACAGCATCAATTATTTTTTTATAAATTATAATTTCGTTTTGGTCAATTTTTTTCTCTACATCAATATTTTTTGTCTTTACCGTTATTGCTTTCTCAATACGATAACTGCATAGATAATTATTTTTTAATAATATATATTAGTCTATCTACACGAAGCAAAAAGATTTCTCGATAATATCTAGATAATAAATAGGTTATATTCTGTCGCAGTAAATTTCATCAATCGTATAAACAAGGTTTCTCAAAATATTAAAATTTGCTAAAAATAATATTATATAATCTACAAATGATTTCGCCAATAAATTGATTCTTATTCTATATGAATAAAACAAGAACAAAGTTTTATTGCAACAACAAAATGCGTTTGATGAAAGTAATAGAAATTTTTGTCTCAGCATTAAAAGTTCTTACAAATAAATAAGTTTCTTTATATCAACATAATACTCAAAAAGTTACTTTCTACTCTATATTGATTAATTTATTTTAGAAATAAATATTATACATGTATAACTACTTTCATATTCTATTTGCAGCAATGATTTTGTTTTCATAATAAAATTCTTTTCTTTCGCGTAAATATGTTTCAGATAAAAATAGAAGACGTACAAAATTTTGTTTAAAATAAATATCTTTAATTTAATTCTTATATTTATTTCTTCTCACCTAGCGATTTTAAAAATTCCACAAATATGTTTTAACAATGATAGAAGCATCAATCCTGCTCCTATTAATGCCGTTTCTCCTATAAAAGATGCTACGTCCATATACAGCAACATATAAAAATAATCACGAGCAGAAAAGTACCCAGGCAAAAGTTGTGTCATCACATGTGGTTGTGTCACATTTATGTACAGGACAAAACGAAAAATGTGCGGTAAAATTGTAACTGAACCAACAACAACTGATGCGCAAATGTAAAGCACTAAGTATATATTTTAAAAAAGACATGAATTATCACTTCTTAAGTTTCTTTAATATATTAATGTGTCGTTTACATTTCAAATTTTACTGTTCTGCAACCAATTCCCTACATTCGATATTTTTGCATAGATAATTATTGTGATATGCTCGAAAAATCATGCGTTAATTTTATCCAAGAATATATATATATATATATATTTATATTCTTGGACAAAATTAACGCATGATTTTTTCACTTTTTCTTTAAAATTTTTCTTTAAAATTTAAATATCAGCTTTAAAAAAAAAAAAGGAAAAAGTTATGCATTAATTTTGGCCCAGGATATATACATACATACATATATATATACATATATATATATATATATATATATATATATGTATACATTTTATATTATAATATAAAAAAAATATAATTAAAAGTTATATATTTAATATGTAAAAATTAGTATTTAAAAATGTATATAATTAAAATATTTTTTATAACTACAAAAAAATATGTATAAGATACAAATATGTTTAAATATTAAACATATTATACATATAGTGAAGTGGTTACTTGAACTACTTTTGTGGCGCCTCAAATTTTATTATAATTGTAATTTTTATTTTACTTTGCAATTGACTATATAAAATAATATATACTATATAAAATTGACTATATAAAATTATCAACATATGTTGTCTTACGTATAAATATAATCGTAATATGTTTCGCATTTCTCCCATATTTTTTCATAATAGCAATTTCATTTTCATCTTTTAATTGATTATATACATGTTGAAGTTGCTCCAATAAATATTGCACCTATTATACCAACAATAATTTGGCACTCATTTCATTGTAAATTTTAAAAAGATTGTTGTATACAAGGATTTATTACAGCGTTTATTATTGGATAAGTGTAATAAAACTTACAGCTCGAACGTTAATTCGGAACGAATTATATTCAATTGCATATATAATAGGCAATAATACGACAGAAAGAACTTTGATAACAAAATCAGGAGTGCATTCTGCAGATATAAATACTGTAAGCTACAATCAATATATATATATATATATATATATATATATATATATATATATATAATTTTAAATCATTATCTTGTCAAATTTTATTTTATTACATATATGTGTATCCAATATGTTTAATATTATTAATAATAAATATATTGGAATAATCATAAAAATAAGAATGATATAATTATATATAAGATTATGATTGTGAAAATATAGACGTACCTCGAATATGATAAAGCTAATTAGAATACTAAAAAACAAGACTAACTGAAATTGAACGAGCCTTGATTGCTGATAAGGCCATAATCCAACCGCGAGCAGAAGAATTCGGTGAAAGGTAAAATGCTGAGTTTGTATAGAAATCATCACTGTGCAAAAATAAAGATACGTTTGACGGCGAAAAGTTCAGCGAAGCTCCCCTTCTCTGGAAAGGTCAATAAAAAATAAAGTCTTAATAAAATTTCTGTTCCCTTCTGTGTAAATTCCAGCATAAATTACTTAATTTAGGATAAAGGTAATGTAAGGTGGTAGATAAAATATAACCGTATAATCGAAGTACGACAATATGATGTCTACTGGGGGAGAAAGGAAGCGATTATGCGATCGATACATTTAATGTCTCGACGGAAAAATTACTGCAAATTTATCACTTACAGAAAAATATTCTTGAGACAATTTGTTGATCGAAGTCTGCGCAAGCGTATTTGATCTTTCTCAGCGTAAAGAATTTTATGCATTTCATTCGATTGTACACATTCGTGCGATGCACTTCGTTTTTTTAGAAGAACATCCCATTATGTGTCGAGTTATATATTGGGAATAAAACATAATGCAAATTGTATAACGAGTTTGAAATAATTATAGCAGACAATTAACTCAATATCTCTCCAAATTAACTCTCATATTAAAGTATGTTTTTATATATGTATATTTACCTTTTATGGTATCACGTGATTGCAGACAACAACATATAAGCGGGCAAGAGACTTCTAAAACGGTTAAGATGGTGTGACAATATTATCAGTGATCTGAGGATCATGGAATGAGAATACGATCTTGCAGTGATGACGAATATAAACAAATAGAGACGAATTGTTCGGTCAGTTAAAACCCATTCTAGGTTGAAACGTTTCAGGAAAATAGAAGAAATATTGCATGATATAAAAAATGGGTAAATATTTATCAAATATTAAAGAACTGTAAATTTGTAACTTTTTCGATTGTTTAATTATGTTTAAATAATTACAATCTCGATAGAAAATAAAATTAATACTCTTTACGATATGTACAATATTATTTAATTAATTTTTCTCAAACTTGAATATATATTTGTGTGTGTATAGAAGATATTCAAATTTGATTAGTTATAATTTTATTTTGGTCTATATATAATATATTATTCATGTGTGATAATATGGTAAAATTGATTTAATATATAAGTTAAATAACATACTCATTTCTTGCTTTATAAAAATTATTTCAGTTACAATTGAAAAGAGCAGGTATTACTTTATTACAATAGATAAATTTATTTAGTAATATTGAATTTGCTATCAAATTATAATAATATTAGTATTTATAGTAACAATAGAATTATTTACTTTTTACGTTATTCTTGCATAGAACACATAACGGTAAAATAAGATATCGATACCTTCGTTAACTGAAATCAAATATAATTTAAATTAATTATGTTGTTTATTAAACTGCATATAAAGTATATCATATAGAGATGTACATCCGTAATATTCAATATACATATTACGTGTATAATTACTCTTACCGTGGCGAAAAACTCTAAAGATAATATGAATATTCCGCCAAAATTAATGTTTATGGTTTTATTACTTCTTTGCAAGAGAAACAGTATCAACTTTTGTATGCGCAAAGATACTGCATACCATTCGACATTATATCTATAAAATAAATCGATATAAATTCATTATTATTACAGAAAATGTAGTAATATGCAACACATAAGTATGATACGTATTAAAGCAATTTTTGATAAGAAATATAATGAGAAAGTAGAGAAAGAAAAAGAAAGAGAGATAGAAAGTCCACAAACATTTACTATGATACTATATTTGTGATCACATATTTCATTTAACATCATATATTTCTTACACGGTGAAAAATATGTCGGTATTGTGATCCATAAATTCTTGACTAAAGTAATTTAAAAGAAACAAATATACAAAAATAATACATACAATTACAAAGTGAACCAAAAATTCTTCTGTTTCTCTACGCAATAAAAATTTAGACATCTAAAATACATTGTTGCAATTAACATTTTAGAAAAAAATAAGTAAAAAAGTTACTTATATAGACATTTATATAGAGAATTATTTATATAGACAAATTTATGAAAATTTCTTTTGTACATTATGAAAAATTTTACAAAAAACATTTTTTTTTAATAAAAATTATTACGTAATGCTATATTCGGAAATAAAATTCCCAAGACGGGAAAAACTTACCACGTAAAGATTCAGACTCAAAGAAAACACCGCAAATATTATTAAAAAGAATAATGATAAGTAAAGAGTGGAAAATAAAAATGTGGAAAACCTTCAACAAGAGAAAAATAGTATTATATTTATATAATATTATTATATTTTTTGTAATTTTGTTACATTTTATATAACTATTATTAAATATATAAATATTTTATATAATTATTATAGATATATAAAGACTGACTTGATAGCAGTCCGATGAATATTTATGGCACAGATTATTTCCTTATACATTATAGCTTCGTTCTTTAGGCAAACATTGTTCCTCATATTTATTGCCTTTACGATGCGATAACTATGAAAAGATTTTTTGTAATTATACTGATTTTTCACATAGAATAAAAAATTTGCTCATAACAACTTATTTTATATTCCCATAATAAAAATTTTGTCAGTTGTTATAGCAAAAAAGACTTCATGAGAATATTAATTTGCTAAAAATAGTTATATTGAAATCGCATATTATATTGTTAAATTGCATAAGTTACAAAATAAATGAATTCTTATTCTGACACTGAAACAAAGATTCATTGCAAAGCAAAACGTATTTCCTACAAGAAAATTATTTCTTTTACCAGCAAATTTATAGGTTTTTTTAAAAAAACAAAATCTATTAATTGTATCAACAAAAAAATTTTCTTTTAGTATCGAACAGCTTATTAAAAATTAAATTTAATCATTTTAACATTGAATATATATTGAAATCGCATATTATTTTGTTAAATTACAAAACAAATGAATTCTTATTCTGACTTTGAAATAAAATTTTATCGCAAAGCAAAACATATTTATTGAAAGTGAATTATTTTTTTGTAACAGCAAATTCACTAAAAGTAAAATTCACTTTGACATCGAATATGCAATGATTATTTTGACAAAACACAATGTCTCCTTCCATTTCTATTTATTAATAATTCTATTTTAAATAACAGATAATATTAAACAGTATTTTTATATTTAGTTTCTACATTTATTACTTCACCTAGCGATTTTGAGTATTCCACAGGCATGTTTAAAATATGCAATGATCATTAATCCTGTTGCAACCATTACAGTTCCTCCAATAAAAATTGCAGCATTAAGATACAAAACTGCATATAAATAATTTCCTCGGTCAATTAAATACTCAGGAATAAATTTAGATAACATATGACGTGATTGAGACTCATTTATATGTAGAGCAAGGCCAAAAGTACGTGGCATAATTGGCAATGAAATTATTGGTAAAACAATAATTAAATTGCACATATGGAACACTATAAATATATATAGACAAAAATAGATATAATACGTAAAAAATAGATTTAAAAATAGATTATAATTATATAAATAGATTTCTATAATTACAACTTAATTATTTTTAACTATTTCACTGTTTGGATTTCACATTGCACATATTTGCAGACTAATTAAGACGCCAGTTTTTATTATTTATTCTCTATTTCTTTGTTTTAATTATTATAATTACAAGAATGCGTCGTTGTAGAAATATTTTCCTCCTACACATTTACTTGTTATTATACGTTTTTATATGTATATGCATTATTGCATTTTTATAGAATAATGATTCTGACATATATAGAAATATGATGATCAATTATATGTATATTAAATAGTGAAATGATCAATTATTATTAACTATTTCAACGATCTAAATTTTATTGTAATTGTATTTTGTTTTATTTTCTAAAAATGTAATATCAATGAATGTGTATTTACATTGCCTTACATGTAATAATAAAAGTAAAACGATTCAGGTTGTCCCCATAATTCTTTATAATAGCAATTTCGTTTTCATCTTTTAATTCATTACAGATGTGCTGAAGTTTTTCCAGAGGATATTCCACCTATTACAGCAATAATATTTTTCAGCACAACTTATTGTAAATTTTTAGAACAATTGTCATACGTAAAAATTCATGTGTATCAACTATGTTCATTTCGTTTACATTTAACTTACAATTTCAGTGAAGTTATACCAAAAAGCATTATATATAATCACATACATAGTACAAAATGATCCTCTAGAGAGAATCTCGATGAGAAGATCAAAAGTAAATTCTGCAGTGATAAATATCATAAACTGCAATCAATAAATTTATTAAAAAAATAATATATCTACTTTTTTATTTCATTAATTAAATGCAAATGTATAATATAATCAAGAAGCTTTTCTAAGGCAATTAATTTTATGTAAGAAATAATAGAACAAATTAATAATTATTACTATTAATAGAATTTGTATCATATATTATTGATAATTAACATAACAATAAATATGCGATGATAACATCTAAAAGATGCAACAATTATACACATTCACATGTTATTTATTATTATTTATTATTATTATACTTACAATTATTATTACTATACTTACAATTAGTATTTATACACAATTAAGAGTAAAATATAAACATACCTGGATTACAATAAAACTAAGTAAAATACTAAAAACCAAAATAGGTTGAAATTGAACGAGCCTTGATCGCTGACAAGGCCATAAGCCAACTATGAACAAAAGTATCCGAAGTAATCTAAAATGCCGAGTCTTTATACAAATCATTACTTTGCGAGAATCGAAGCACATCTGACTGCGAGAAGGGTTCCGTATTCCCACCCTTCGATGGATCGATATAGAACCGAATATTATAGAAAATTTCCGACTCTTAGCGTAAATTATAGCGTAAATCGCCTAATTCAATATAAATGATAATACACAGGTGGTAGACAAAATATCGTATAGTGTAAACACCCGTAATTTCACGCTTTCTGCGCGAAAGGTGACGGAGCGATTACCCGATCGATATAATTGGCATCGAGAGCAAATTTAATACAAATTTTTTTCTGCTATAAAAAAACATTCTAAAGACAATATGATGATCAAATTCCGCGCAAGCGTACTTGTCCTTTTCCTCTACGATTAGTTCCATGTGTTTCATTCGATTGTATACATTCATGCGATACGTTTCTCCACTAAAGAAACATCTTCTTATGTGTTGAAATTAGTCACATAATCCTCTCGCCAATAAAGTGTTAAACATGTTGCGCATTAAAAAAATCTGTAGAAATTTGTATTATATAATTTTATAGCAAATAAACTCAAAAAAATAAAACTCAAAATAAACTCAAAAAACTTTCCAAGTCGTATTAAAATACATGTCTTTCTAGACATGTATGTTATCTGTTATAATATCGCATGATCTCAAAGGTAAGAAAGTAACAAAAATTAAATTATTGTAGATTTGTAGTTGACTGTTTAATTGTAACATCTAGAGAATAACATTAATACGTTTTACGATATATGTATTGTAATTCCTGCAAAAATTCTTTGGAATATATATACAAATTTGTATATATATTTATGTTTATAAAAAATTGCTAATTATTATTTCATAAAAGAATGTTACAATTAATATTTTACAGAATTAATTTGTCATCTAATTTGCATATTACAACATTACATTTATCATTTCAGAAAGAAGATAAGCAAAAAATTAGAATAATTTATATAAATAAGGAAGTTTCAAGAAAATTTTCTTCCGGTTTATACATTACAAAATTTTGTAAAAGAAATTTCTATTACTACTTGTGTACCTTTGTGCGTATGAGCACGCTCACGCTTGTGTGCACGCTTGTGTATATTGTGTTACATGCTTCCGTTATTTTGATATATAAAAAACGATGGCCAATTATACTGGTAATAGATCAAACGGGTAATCAAAACTTTTAACTTACAGTTTCAGCGAAACCCAAAAACATTGTAAATAATCACAAACATAGTGAAAAGCGATCCTATAGAAAAAACTGTTGACTACGTATCCTGCAATGACAAATATTACAAGCTACGATCAATATATATTATAAAAACAAGGTAATTACTTTATTTCATTAAATAAATACGTATATTAATAATCAGTTGCTTCTTTAAGACAATTAATTATAATACATGTAAGAAATTGTAGTCTCCTCGACTATTTAAATAATTGCAAGATCGGCAGAGAATAAAATTAATACTTTTTTTTCCGAATCAATATATATACAATATGTGAGTGTAAAAGATGAATTTACTTAACCTGATTAATCATAACTTTTTTTATTGCAAAAAATATATAGTTCAAATATTATAACGTATGTTACAAATGACTGATTAATCCAATATGTAAATCAAATAACATAATTTTTCCATTTTGAGGGTGCCCACGATGTGATTTAAAGCAACAGACATTATTACCTTTACGTTTATTCAGTAGTTGAATTTACTAGTAAATTATAATGTATAATCGTATGATTTAATTTTTGCATTAGTCCTGCATCGAATACATAACGGTAAAATAGGATATTGACGCCTTCATTAACTAAAATACATACATTATGTTATATTATGTTTTTTGACAAGTTACATATCATAACATACATTTTATATAGAGATAGATGCACATCTCCGTAATATTTAATATACATATAACGTGTATAATTCTTACCGAAGCGAAAAACTCTAAAGATAATATAAATACTCCGCCAAAATTCAGGCTTATCGTTTTACTACCCCTTTGCAAAAAAAACAATATTAACTTTTGTATGCGCAAAGATGTTACATACCACTGAATATTGTATCTGTAAAATAATTAAGTAATAAATTTATTATTATAGAAAATCGAATTTTCAACATATGAGAATCAAATATATTAAGATTATTTATATTAATAAAGAATTTATATATATATATATATATATATATATATATATATATATGACCCGAGTCCACAAACATTTTACTATCATATTATATTTTTATTGTAAACATATTTCTTACGCAGTGAAAAATATGTCGTTATTGTAATCCATAAATTCTTGACCGATGTAATTAAAGAAAAACATGAATATAAAAATGACAATTACAATTGCAAAATGCATACAAACTTGACTAATGTCGTTCCCATACAATATATTCTTAGATAACTAAAACATAATGTTAAAATTAACATTTCATAAAATTAACATCTATCATTATATCGAAATAGAATACTTAAAAAAATTAGAATTATTTAAATTTCTAAGTAAAAAATATTTACATAGACAAGATCACAAAAATTTGTTTAGTTTAATTGATACATTATCAAATTTTGCAAATAACTTCCTTTCACTAAAAGTTATTGTGAAATGCTATAATATTGTTTCAGAAATAAAATTCACAACACACAAGAAAAACTCACTGCGTAAAGATTCAGACTCAAACAAATCACAGCTATTATTACCAAAAAGAACGATGGAAAATAAAGACAGGAAAATAAAAATGTGGAGAACCTTCAGCAAGAGAAAAATAATGTTATATGTATATAAATAATGTTAAATGTGTATATATATAGAAATTATTATATAATAGATAAATACGAACTTGATAGCAGTACGATGAAAATCTATAGCATAAATTATTCCTTTATACATTACAGTTTCTTTCTTTTGGTGAACATTGTTCCACATATTAATTGCTTTCTTTATGCGATAACTATAAAAAAATTTTGTTGCAATTGAATTTTTCATATAAAGAAAAAAAGTTTTGATATAACATATTAATTTGTTAAAAATTGTTTTATTGATTCGTATAGATTATTTCATTAAATTATATAACCCTATATTATATAAATTCTATATTTTTTTAACAGCAAACGTGCCCATAAACAAACAAGTTCTTTTTATTATACAAACAAAATATATTCTAATTCAATATCAAATAATTCACTAAATAAAATTTCAGTTGACAATGAATATACAACGATTATTTTAACAAAATAATTTCTTTTTTTATCTAAATCTATTAACAAATTTATTTTAAAAAAGAGATAGCAAAAATAGTATTTTTCGATATTTATTTATATACTTATTATCTTTCAATTTATTCTATTATTTTACCTGGCGATTCTTAGCATTCCGCTGACATGCTTAAGATATGTAAAGGTAATCAATCCTATTGCAACCATTGCAGTTCCTCCAATACACAATGATGCATCAGTGAATAGCAAAATTAAATATAAATAATTTTCTCGGTCAATGAAATACTTAGGTACAAATTTATATATTATATCACGTTTAGACTCATTTATATGCACATCAAAGCCAATGCGCGTTATAATTGGCAATAAAATGATTGATGAGCCAATAATTAAATTGCATGTATGCCACACTACAAATATTTAATAAATAAGAATAATTTCTACAACTTATTAACTACTTTTATTTATTTTATCGTCTGAATTTCATACTTTTAATTTTATTTCTCGCATATTTTTGCAGTGTACCGATTAAAAAGTATTAATTATAATTATTCAATTTTTTTCTATTTTTTCTTTTAAATAAAATAAGCAAAACAACATTATAAAAATATATCCATATAATTTTGATTCTGTTGTGACACACAATTAATTTTTATTATACTTGTGTATCTTTCTCCGTAAACATGTGTGCGAGTTATATCCATTATATTTTCTTGTTATTTTAATATATAAGAAATGATGGCCAATTATACTACATTAAAGTGGTAAAATAAGTATCCAAATTTAATTTAATTTAGCGATTTATGGCGTATCAAGATTATATTTTGCTTTAAAATATATATTACATGTCAACGAATATGTATGTTGACTTACGCAAAATAATAAAACTAAAACGTTTTATATTGTCTCCGCATCTCTTTATAATAACAATTTCTTTTTCATCTTTTAATTCGTTACAGATGTCTTGAAGCTTCTCCAAGGGATATTCTATCTATCATATCAATAAAATTTTTCAGCATACAAAACGTCGTACATATTTTTAAAAGTATTGTTTTGTGCAAAGATTCACTTTATTAAGTATGTATATTTCGTGGAACAAAAAAAAATTTAACTTACAAATTCGGTGAAATTATAGCAACAAAAATTATACATAATCGCAAACATAATGAAAATCAATTCTATAGAGAGACCGTTGATGATCAGATCAAGAGAGAATTCTTGAATGAAAAGAAATGAAAACTGCAATCAACAAATTTATTAAAAAAAAGAGCTACTTTTTTATTTCATTAACTAAATGCAAATATACAACACAATCAACTATTTTTCTAAGTTTTTAAACTATGTATTTTTGTAATTAACTATTTTTCAGTTAATTACATGTAAGAAATAACAATAAATTAATAATTATTAGACTATAGGATTTGTATTGTATATCATTACTAATTAACATAAAATAAATAAATGATAATAACATCTAAAGGTTGCAATAATTATGTATATACACGTACATATAGCTAGAAATAAAATATGAACATACCTGTATTAAAATAGAACTATTCAGAATACTAGAAAACAAAATCAGTTGAAGTTGTACGAGCTTAGTTCGCTGACAAGGCCATAAACCAATCGCGAGTAAAACAATCCGATGCAAGCTAAAATGCCGAGTCTTTATGCAGATCATCACTTTATGAGAGTCGAAATGTGTCTGACCTCGAGAAAGTGACAGAGGCACTCGTATACCCCTTCTTTCAAAGGCTCGATAAAATTGAGTATATTATAGAATTTCCGACTCTTAGTGTAAGTTATAATAAATTATAGTAAATTATAGTAAATTGCCTAATTTTATATGAACGATAATATAAAGTGGTAGACAAAATATCACATAAGCGAAACATTCGTAACTTTTACCTCGCGGAAAGCGAGGGAATGATTACGTGATCGATATAATTGGCATCGAGAGCAAATTTAACACAAATTTATCTGCTATAAAAAACATTCTAAAGATAATATAATGATCAAATTCCGCGCAAGCGTACTTGTCCTTTTTCAACATCAGTTGCATTTGTCATTCGTTTGTGTACATTTGTGCGATGTCTTTCTCCAGAGAAATGTTAGTTTTATAATACTGAGATATCAGATCCCGCTGATAAAGGGCAAAACATGCTGCGAATTGCAAATTAGAAGCTTAATACGCATTTATAGCAGCTTTGGCGTTAATTATGAATCGTGTATAAATATTTAAGCACAGTCAGTGTACGCATATTATAATATCGTGTAACGTAACAAAAAATAGATAGATATTTATTATCAGATTTTAAATAACTGTGAATTTATGATTGTCTCAGCTATACAGCACAATTCATAGAAAATCAAATTAACTTGAAGTAAATTAATTTAAATTTACTGTTTGATACAAATTATTTAACTCGTGCATAGTTTGTTTGAGTAATGTTTTATGTTTAAATCCTACAATACATTCACTTTAAAGAGTGTGATAGAAAATATTTAAATTTTATTAATTATAATATACTATTTCATTTAGAGAAATAATTTCTATATATTTCCCTTATTGCACAATTGTTACATACATTCATCTTATATATTTATCTTATACGTTATTCTTGCATAGAATACATAACGGTAAAGTAAGATAATGATGCCTTTGTCAACTAGAATCAGATATGTTTGTTTTATGTAATTTTCGTTCGAACCGCGTGTTTTAAGTATATAATAATATACAATAATAATACATTAATGTAATATATTATGCACAAGTGATAACTTTTACCGTGGCAAAAAGCTCGAAAGATAATGTAATTACACCGCCAAAATTCATATTGAATGTTTTGCTACCTTTTTGCAAAAGAAATAGTATCAGTTTCTGTACATGTAAGGGTGTACTATACCATTGAACATTATATCTGGACAGAAAAATAAAGAAATAAATCGATAATTGAATAAAGAGCAGTAGCAATAATATTCAACATACGCATATGTATGTGAAATGTTAATTTTAAGCTTCATTTAAATTATTAAAATTCTTAACAAATTAATATGATGATAAATATGTAAACATATATAATGTCTCTTACACGGTAGAAAATACATGATCATTGTGATTTGTAATTTCTTGTCCGGCATAATTGACGAAAAACAAATATACCAACATGACAATTGCAATTAAAAAATGCATTAATAATTGTCCAAAATTGTCTCCCTTTGATGCATACACGGCAATCTACAACACAATATTGCATTCAATCTTTTAAGATTTTAAAACTGTCTTTCGATCTCCTGATACCATGCAACGCGCAATATTGCTCATCTAAAAATAAATTTTACAATGCGAGAAAAACTCACTGCATAAAGATTAAGGCTTAAACAAATCACATCAATTGATATCACAAGAAGGTGCGATTTTTGAAAATTGTCCGATAAAAATACGGTTAACCTTAAAAATATATTATATATAATATATAAATATTATTATATAAATATTATTATATTACAATATACATAAACGATATTTGAACACTAACTTGATAGCTTCACGATGTATATCTACAGCATGAATTATTTTTTTATAAATTATAATCTCATTCTTATGGTCAATTTTTTTCTCTGCATCACTATTAATCGTCATCTTTACCGTTATTGCCTTCTCAATGCGATAACTGCATACATAATTACTTTTTTAATAATATATATTAGTCCGTCTATATGGAGCAAAAAGATTTTTCGATAATATCTAGATAATAAATATATTTCATTCTGTGGCAGTAAATTTCATAAATTATATAAAAATAAACAAAGTTTCTCAAAATATTAATTTGTTAAAAATAAATATTATATAATTTACAAATGATTTCGCCAACTAATTAATTCTTATCAATTGATTCTATCAATAAAACAGGAACAAAGTTTTATTGCAACAACAAAATACATTTATTGAAAATAATAGAAACTATTTTGTCTATTAAAATTGTGTTTTTACAAATAAATAAAGTTTCTTTATTTCCACATGCTTCCACAAAAGGTTACTTCCTACTCTATATAATAATTTATTTATTATAATTTATTTTAAAAACATACATTATACATATAATATATATAAATAATTATACATATAATCACTTTCATATTCTATTTGCAGCGATGATTTTGTTTTCATAATAAAATTCTTTTCTCTCGCGTAAATATGTTTTAGATTTAATAAATAGAAAGCATACTAAATTTTGTTTAAAATAAATATTTTTAATTTAATTCTTATATTTATTTCATCTCACCTAGCGATTTTAAAAATTCCACAAATATGTTTGATCAATGATATAAGTATTATTCCTTTTCCTACTAATGTCGTTGCTCCTATAAAAAAAGCAACGTCCATATACAGCAAGATTATGTAAAAATAACTTTCACTGTCAGTAAAGTACTCAGGCATGAGTTGTGTCATCACACGTGGTTGTGTCACATTTATGTGCAGGACTATACGAAGAATGCGCGGTAAAATTGTAATTGAGCCAACAGTAACTGACGCGCAAATGTAAACCACTAACAATAAATATATTATAAAAAGTTAATATATGAATTATCATTTTTTAGATTTCTTTCATATATTAAAGTGTTGTTTTTACATTTCAAATTTCACTATTCTGCAATCAATTCCCTATATCCGATATGTTTGCATAGTTAATGATTTTAAAATATTTGATCTTCTGTATTGTTTAAATTTTTTTAGAAATTAAAATAAATAATTAAAATTAAAAAAAAATATATATATATATATTTTATAATTATATATTAAATATATAACTTTTAATTATATTTAATATATATAAATTATTATATATATTAAATATAATTAAAAGTTATATATTTAATATATAATTATAAAATGTATAGAATTATAAAATATCTTTTATAACTACAATATATATATATATATAAGATACAACTATATTTAAATATTAAAGATATTATATAGTGAAGTGGTTACTTGAACTACTTTTGTGTCACTTCATGCTTCAAATTTTATTATAATTGTAATTTTTATTTTACTTTGCAATTGACTATATAAAATTATCAACATATGTTATCTTACTTATAAACATAATCGTAAAATATTTCGCATTTGTCCCATATTTTTTTATAATAGCGATTTCATTTTCATCTTTTAATTGATTATATACATGTTGAAGTTGCTCCAATAAATATTTCACCTATTATACCAACATTACCTTGGAATTCATCTCATTGTAAATTTTAAAAAGATTTTTGTATACAAGGATTAATGTTTTTCACAGCGTTTATTATTGGATAAGCGTCATAAAACTTTAACTTACTGCTTGAGCGTTAATTCGGATCGAGTTATATTCAATTGCATACATAATAAACACCAGTAAGACAGAAAGAACTTTGATGACAAAATCAGGAGTGCATTCTGCATATATAAATACTGTAAGCTACAATCAATCAAAGTTATTTTAAAAAATAAAAATATAGAGTTACTTTTCTTGCTTCATTATTATATTGATAATATATAATTATCAAATGTTTTTATGTACTTTTATAAGCATCCTAATAGCAAATAAGTTAAAAACATAACTCTCATCGTAATAAAAAACAAATTTTATTTTATGTTATTATACTATAAAAATTAGTATTATTTCACATTATTATAAATAAATACGTATTATTGTAATATGTTCAATAATGTTATTGATAACAAATATCATCTACATCATAATTATAAATATTGTTATAAATATGAATATACCTGGAATATAATAAAGCTTATCAGAAGACCGAAACACAAGTTTAATTGAAATTGAACAAGTCTTGATCGGTAATAAGGCCATAAACCAACCACAAGCAAAATAATCCGTTGGAACGTAAAATGAGTCTCTATACAGATCATCACTATGCAAAAGTCGAAACAAGTGTGATGGCAAAAAGATCGGCGAGACTCCCCTTCTTCAAAGAGATCAATAAAATAAAGTTTCTGTCTTTTTGTGTAAATTCTAAATTGCCTAATTCAGGAAATACGATAATACAAGCGGTAGTGCAAATATATAAAGCGGTAATGTGAATGTAATCGTATAATCGAAATACTTGCAATTTTTCCGGGGAGAGAAATGGAGCGATTATGCGATCGATACATTTAACGCCGAGAAAAAAATTACTGCAAAATTTATCTTCGATAGAAAAACATTCTTCAGACAATTTGTTGATCGAAGTCTGCGCAAGCGTACTTAGTCTTTCTCATCGCAAAGAGTTTGTGCGTTTCATTCGATTTTATACATTCGTGCGATACGTTTCTTTACAAGATTGTTATCTTATCGAGATATTAGTTACATAGTTTCCTCTCCAATAAAAAACAAAACATGATGCAAATATCAATGTAAACGTCAATATAAATACAATGTAGTAAGTAATTTTCAAAAATTTTCAAATTTATATTAAAATATATGTGTTTATGCATATATATGTTTATCTCTTAGCGCGCAATATAAAAAATGAGTCGATGATTATTAGAAATAAATCTCAATGATTATCAAATTAAATTACAAAAGTTATATAATAGAGTTATAATTCTTTTAATTGTTTAAATAATTTCATCATCGACAGAAAATAAAATTAACATTTTTTATGATGCATCTTATTTAATTCATGCAAAATTCGAAAATTCATACATATATTTGTGTGTATGAAAAATATTTAAACGTTATATTAAAACTTTATTTTATTGTGAAAAATATATGCGTGTGTTACAACAATATAAATTATTTAAAATGTATAAATTAAATAATGCTATATATTTCTCATTTTCTTCTCACTTTAAAGATAACACTCGCGATATAATTTAAACGAATAAACATTATAATCTCAGGTAACTTTAATTCCACTTTTTAACAAACCGTACATACAATCGTATAATTTATTTTTTACGTTACTCCTGCATGGAATATATAACAGTAAAATAGGATAATGATGCCTTTATAAGCTGAAATAGAATATATCTTGTGTAACTTTGGTGTCGCGTATTAACCATGTAATAATATGTTGTATGTTATATTATGCATAATTAATAATTTTTACCGCGGCGAAAAACTCGAGAGATAATGAAAATATTCCGCCAAAATTCAGAGTTACAGTTTTTGCTATTGTGAAATAAGTATCTCAAGTTTTATCTTTGTAAATATATTCAGTTTTATCTTTGTAATAATTCGTAAAAAATTATCATATATATTTATTTATGTAAGCAGTATCTCTCTTACGCGGTGCAAAATATGTGATCATTGTGATCTGTAATTTCTTGTCCGAAATAATTGGCCGTGAACAAATATATAAATAAGACTACTGCAATTAGAAAGTGTAATAATAATTGTTCAGTATCGCCACCATGTGACACATTCACAGCAATCTACAATACAATGATGCATCTTTTATATATTTTATAGATCATTTTATATCAAGAGATTAGAAAATATGTTTTTCAACTCTAATATCCTGCAATATAAAATATAGTTTTTATATAAATAAATTTTATAATGTGAAAAAACTTACTGCATAAAGATTAAGAGTCAAGCAAATCACACCAACTACTATCACAAGAATATGTGATTCTCGGAAGCTGCTCAATAAAAATAAAGAGTACCTTAAAAAAGAATATATAATCGTGTGATACATATAAAAACATTATATATATATATATATATATATATATATATATAATTATAAAATATAAAAATACTAACTCGATCGCTTTACGATGAATATCTACGGCATGAATTATTTCTTTATAAATTGTAATTTCACTCGCTAGGCTAGAATTCGTCGTCATCGTTATTGTCAGTGCCTTCTCGATGCGATAACTGCATAAATAATTTCTTTCTTTTTATTAAGTGAACCTCGTTTATACATAAAGGATAAAAATTGTCTGACAATGTGTATATATATATATATTGATTTTTGTCAAATGTGAAAAAAAAAAGGAGTCCGCCAAACTTCATACAGATACACTGATTTCCATTTCATAAAATAGAAATGATTTTATTACATTAGTAAAATGCATTTATGAAATACTAATCATTTCCTTTTAACAGCAAAATCATAATTTTACAAACAAATAACTTTTCCATTTTGCTAACAATATCTGTTGTTCTATCAATTTATTTACTTTAATAATTTATTATGAAAATGATTTTGCTGTCATAAGATATATAAATTTTTTTTAGACAATAAATATAAATATGGCACTAAATATGCGCATAAAATTGTTAAAATCTTATTCAAAACTTTTAAATTATTTTCTATATTTAATGCTTCACCTGGCGACTCTAAACATTCCACAGGCATGTTCTAAATATGATAGAAGCATCATTGCAATTCCAACTAGTGCTGTCGCTCCTATTAAAAGGGCTGCATCCATGTACATCAGAATTAAATAGATATATCTTTTTTGATCAACAAAATATTTAGGTATAAGCTGTTGCATCATGCGTGGATGTGTCACATTTATGTGCAGAACAGAACCAAGAATGCGCGGCAAAAATTGAAGTAAAATTACAATAACTGTGATGCAAATGTAAAGCGCTAAAAATATTTTTAAAAAGTAGATATATAAAATTATTTATTTTTTAATCTTTCGAATGATCATGTAAATTTCTAACGTCATTATCTTAGCAACCACGCCTATGCGATATTTTTGCATAATAAATATAAAATATTTATTTGTTTTGCAAAACAAATATTAAAATTTTTCCAACATGATTTTTTTATTGAAACGTAATAATTAAAATTAGAAGCATTATTGAAACAAATATTAGCATTCAATTCATTTTTCAATATAAATTCTTATATAAATTCTTATAATGATATTTTGAATATATTTTTTATTTATATTTCTACATTGTAATAAAGAAATATTATAATATAAATATAACATCTCAAATTTTAATTAATTTAATTTAAATTAGATAGCAAAGTGGTTAATCAGATTAATTTAATATTTATCATTAATTTAATTTTTACTGTGATTTTTATCATAATAATTTATTTTTATTTGCGATATGTATAAAATATCAAGAAATACTATCTTACACAAGAGTATAGTCACATAACGTTTTGCGGTATTCCCATATCTTTGCATGATAGCGATTTCATTGTCGTCCCTCAGCTCGTTATAAATGTGCTGAAGTTGCTCCAATAAATACCTTACCTATTAAATCAATAATACTTTGGCATTTGCCTCGATATAAATTTTGAGGACTGTTGTGATTGGTTCATCATTATCACGATGTTTTATAAAGGTAAAAAACAAAGAATTAACTTACAGCTTGAGTATTCATTCGGAATGAATTATATACAATTGCATACATAATAAGCAATAATGCGATAGAGAGAACTTTGATAACAAGATCAGAAGTGCATTCTATAGATATAAATACTGTAAGCTACAATCAATAAAATATTACTTAAAAAATCATGAAATAATGAAAAACATATTTTTATTTAATTAATTATATTGTTAATATATAATAACCAGCTATTTTTATATACATTATGCTTTATAACAGATAAATAAAATATAAAAATAAATAAAATAAAAATTATGATTATGAGAATATAGACGTACCTGGAATATGATAAAACTAATTAGAATACTAAAAAACAAGACTAACTGAAATTGAACGAGCCTTGATTGCTGATAAGGCCATAATCCAACCGCGAGCAGAAAAATTCGATGGAAAGTAAAATGAGGAATTTGTATAGAAATCATCACTGTGCAAAAGTCAAGATACATTTGACGGCGAAAAGTTCGGCGGAACTACGCAAACCCCTTCTCTGGAGAGATCAATAAAAAATAAAGTCTTATAAAATTTCTTTCTTCCTATGTAAATTCTAGAGTAAATTGTTTAATTTAGGATAAGCGGCAATGTAAGGTGGAAGATAAAACATAATTGTATAATCGAAATACCGCAATACGATGTCTACTGGTGGAGAAACGAAATGATTATGCGATCGATACACTTAATGTCTCGACGAGAAAAATTATTGTAAATTGATCTCCGACAGAAAAACATTCTTGAGACAATTTGTTGATCGAAGACTGCGCAAGCGTACTTGGTCTTTCTCAGCGCAAAATGTTTTGTGCATTTCATTCGAGTGTACATATTCGTGCGAAATGTTTCCTTCTATAGAAGATTGTCGTCTTATACTTATCGAGATATTAGTTACCTCTCCATAGTTTCCTCTCCAATAAAATAATGCAAATTTCAATGTAGAGGTCAATGAAGATGCAATTGTAGTAAGTAATTTTCAAAAATTTTTAAAGTTGTGTTAAAATATATACACGTGTTTATGTATAGTATGTACGTTTATCTTTTATCGGGTAATGTAAAAAATGAGTCTCAATGATTACCAGAAATTAAATTATAATAAAGTTATAATTCTTTCAATTGTTTAAATAATTTCATCATCAACGGAAAATAAAATTAAAATTTTTATATTATTACGTATATTATTTAATTGGTGCAAAATTCGAAAATTTAAATCTATATGTATATTTGTGTATATAAAAAATATTTAAACGTGATTATATTAAAACTTTATTTTATTGTGAAAAATATATATGTTCATGTGTTACAATGATATAAATTATATAACATATAAAAATTAAATAATGCTATATATTTCTCATTCTCTTCTCTTTAAAGATAACACTCGTGATATAATTTAACGAACAAACATTATAATCTCACGTAACTTTAACGTTGCATTTTCTTACAAATCGTACATACAAACGTATGATTTATTTTAGACGCTATTCCTGCATGGAATATATAACAGTAAAGTAGGATAATGATGCTTTTATTAGCTGGAATAGAATATATCTTGTGTAACTTCCATGTCGAGTATTAAGTATATGATATAATAACTACATAATATGTTATATGTTATATTATGCATAATTAATAACTTTTACCGTGGCGAAAAGCTTGATGGATAATGAAAATACTCCGGCAAAATTCAGAGTTACAGTTTTGCTACCTCTTTGCAAAAGAAATAGTATCAGTTTCTGTACCTGTACAGACGCAGTGTACCACCGAACATTGTAGCTAAAAATAACGGCAAAGAATAAAAAATTTGTTAAATGCAGTAATCTTCAACCTATGAATGTGTGAAATATATATATCAAGTTTTATCTTCGTTATAATTCATAAAAAATTACAATATATAATTATTCATGTAAGCAACATCTCTTACGCGGTGTAAAATACATGATCATTGTGGTCTGTAATTATTTGTCCGAAATAATTGACCGTAAACAAATATATAAATAAAACTACTGCAATTAGAAAGTGTAATAATAATTGTTCAGTATCACCACCATGTGACACATTCACAGCAATCTACAACACAATGACGCATCTTTATATATATTTTGTAGATCATTTTATATAAAAAGATTAGAAAATATGTTTTTCAATCCTGATATCTTGAAATGTAAAATACAGTTCGTTCTGAAGTAAATTTTATTATAATGTGCAAAAACTTACTGCGTAAAGATTAAGGGTCAAGCAAATCACACCAACTAATATTACAAGAATATGTGATTCTCGGAAACTGCTCAATAAAAATAAAGAGAACCTTAAAAAAGAATATGATACATATAAAAACATTATATATATATATATATATATATATATATATATATATAAAATATTAAAATACTAACTCGATAGCTTTACGATGAATATCTACGGCATGAATTATTTCTTTACAAATTATAATTTGGTTCGCTAGACTAGAATTCATCGGCATCGTTATTGTCATTGCTTTCTCGATGCGATAACTATATAAGTAATTTCTTCCTTTTTATTAAGTAAGCCTCGTTTATACATAAAGGATAACAATTTTCTGACAATATATATATTTAATTATTGTAATAATTTTTGTCAGTTATCAAATAAACAAAATTTATTAAAAATATTAATTTACTATTATACTGCATAACGAATTGAATATCAAATTGTGATTTGGAGGATATCCAGAATTTTGATTTTTGTTTTTAAATGTGAAAAACGAGCAATTCCCCAACTTCATAGAGGTAAATTGACTTTCATTTCATTCATAAAAAACAGAAATAATTTTATTACAGTAATAAAATATATTTATTAAGTATTAATCATTTTATTTTAACAGCAAAGTCATAATTTTATAGACAAAGAATTTCTCTATTTTAATAATAATAAAGTTATCTGTTGCACTACATTAGTTTACAACTTAAATAATTTATTACGAAGAAAACTTTGCTGTTTGTCAGAGATATATAAATTTATTTATTTTAGACAATAAATATATTTAATGTCATATATATATATATATATATATATATATATATATATATTTATTTATTGGCCAAAATAAATAATTATTATAATTTATTTAGACATATAAATAGTTTATTTATTTTAGACAATAAATATATAAATATGACACTAAATATACATACAAAGTTCTTAAAATCTTATTCAAAACTTTTAAATTATTTTCTATATTTAATGCTTCACCTGGCAACTCTAAACATTCCACAGGCATGTTCGAAATATGATAGAAGCATCATTATTATTCCAACTAGTGCTGTCGCTCCTATTAAAAGAGCTGCACCCATGTACATCAGAATTAAATAGATATATCTTTTTTGATCAACAAAATATTTAGGTATAAGCTGTTGCATTATGCGTGGATGTGTTGCGTTTATGTGCAGAACAAAACCAAGAATACGCGGCAAAATTGGCAGTAAAGTTACAATAACTGAGATACAAATGTAAAGAGCTAAAAATATTTTTTAAATGTAGATATGTAAATTGTTGTTTTTCAATTTTTTAAAATATGTAAATTTCTAATGTCATTATCTTAACAACCATTTCCCTATACGATATTTTTGCATAATTATAAAATATTTATTTTTGCAAAACAAATATTAAAATTTTTTTAACATGACTTTTTTATTGAAATGTAATAATTAAAATTATTATTGTGAAACAAATATTAGCTTTCTATTCATTCATCAATATAAATTCTTATAATCATATTTTGAATATATTTTTTAATTATATTTCTACATTCTAATAAAGAAATATTATAATATAAACATAGCATCTCCTGTATTTAAATTAGATAGCAAAGTGGTTAATCAGATCAATTTAATATTTACCATTAATTTAATTTCTATCGTGATTTTTATTATGATAATCTATTTTCATTTGCTTATTTTCATTAGATATATATAAAACGTCTTATTTTCATTAGATATATATAAAACGTCGAAAAAAAAAATATTATCTTACACAAAAATATAGCCACATAACGTTTTGCGGTATTCCCATATCTTTGCATGATAGCGATTTCATTCTCGTCTCTCAGTTCATTATAAATGTGTTGAAGTTGCTCCAATAAATATCTTACCTATTACATCAATAATACTTTGACACTTGCCTCATTATAAATTTTGATAAGGACTATTGTAATTTGTTCATCTCTCACGATATTTTATTATTACGTGAAAACAATAAAAAAAATTAACTTACAGCTTGAGTATTCATTCGGAATGAATTATATTCAATTGTATACATAATAAGCAATAATACGATAGAGAGAACTTTGATAGCAAGATCAGAAGTATATTCTGCAGATATAAATACTGTAAGCTATAATCAATAAAGAATTATTTGAAAAATAATAAAATAATGAAAAAAATATTCTTCGTTTAATTAATTATATTGTTAATTTATAATAATTATTTAAAAAATAATAGAATAACGAAAAAAATATTTTTTATTTCATTGATTATATTGCCAATATGTAATAATCAGCTATTTTCATATAAATTATGATTTATAACAAATAAACAATAAAAAGATTCTTATAGTAGTAGAAAAAAAGATATATATATATATGTATATAAATATTATTTTAGATCATTATATTGTCAAATTTTATTTGTTGTATTACGTATGTATGTATCTAATACATTTAATATTATTAATAATAAATATATGCATCATATTGGAATAATCCTAAATAAAAGTAACATAATTATAAAAGATTATGATTGTGAGAATATAGACATACCTGGAATATGATAAAGCTAATTAGAATACTAAAAAACAAAACTAACTGAAATTGTACGAGCTTTGATTGTTGATAAGGCCACAAGCCAACCGCGAGCAGAAAAATTCGATGAAAGATAAAATGCTGAGTTTGTATAGAAATCATCACTGTGCAAAAGTCAAGATACATTTGACGGCGAAAAGTTCGGCGGAACTCCGCAAACCCCTTCTCTGGAGAGATCAATAAAAAATAAAGTCTTATAAAATTTCTTTCTTCCTATGTAAATTCTTTCTATCGTAAATTGTTTAATTTAGGATAAGCGGTAATGTAAGGTGGAAGATAAAATATAATCGTATAATCGAAATATAGCAATATGATGTCTACTGAGGAAGAAAGGGAGCGATTATGCGATCGATACATTTAACGACGGAAAAATTACTGTAAATTTATCTTCCACAAAAAAACATTCTTGAGACAATTTGTTGATCAAAGACTGCGCAAGCGTACTTGGTTTTTCTCAGCGTAAAGAGTTTTGTGCATTTCATTCGATTGTACACATTCGTGCGGAATGTTTCCTTCTTTAGAAGATTGTCGTCTTATGCTTATCGAGATATCAGTTACATAGCATCCTCTCCAATAAAATAATGCAAATATCAATGTAGAAGTCAATGTGGATACAATTGTGGTAAATAATTTTCAAAAATTTTCAAAGTTGTATTAAAATTGTGTTTAATATACATGTATTATATGTTTATCTCTTATCGCGTAATGTAAAAAATGAGTCTGAATAATTACCAGAGAAATTAAATTACAATAAGTTATAATTCTTTCAATTGTTGAAATAATTTCATCATCGACAGAAAATACAATTAAAATTTTTTACAACCTATATTATTTAATTGGTACAAAATTCGAAAATTCAAATTTATACGTATATTTGTGTGTATAAAAGATATTTAAACGTGACTATTAAAATACTGTTTAGGCTGATTATTAAAACTTTATTTTATGGTGAAAAATATATAGTTTATGTGTTACAATGATATAAATTATTTAATTATGTATAAATAAAATAATACTATATATAATTTCTCATTCTTTTCTCACTTTAAAGCTAACGTGATACAATTTAAACGAGCAGACATTATAATTTCAGATAACTTTAACATTGCATTTTTTTACAAATCGTACGTACAATCATATGATTTATTTTTTACATTACTCCTGCATGGAATATATAACAGTAAAGTAGGACAATGATACCTTTATTAGCTGGAATAGAATATATCTCATGTCGTATAATAACCATGTAATAATATGTTGTATGTTATATTATGCATAATTAATAACTTTTACCATTGCAAAAAGCTCGATGGATAGTGAAAATACTCCGGCAAAATTCAGAGTTACAGTTTTACTACCTCTTTGCAAAAGAAATAATATCAGTTTCTGTACCTGTACAGACGCAGTGTACCACCGAACATTGTAGCTAGAAATAACGGCAGAGTCAAAAATTTGTTAAATGCAATAATCTTCAACCTATGAATGTGTGAAATATATATATCAAGTTTTATCTTCGTTATAATTCATAAAAAATTATCATATAATATATAATTATTCATGTAAGTAGCATCTCTCTTACGCGGTATAAAATACATGATCGTTGTGGTCCGTAATTTTTTGTCCGAAATAATTGATCGTAAACAAATATATAAATAAGACTACTGCAATTAGAAAGTGTAATAATAATTGTTCAGTATCGCCACCATGTGACACATTCACAGCAATCTACAATACAATGACGCATCTTTATATATATTTTGTATATCATTTTATATAAAAAGATTAGAAAATATGTTTTTCAATCCTGATATCTTGTAATATAAAATACAGTTCGTTCTTACGTAAATTTTATTATAATGGGGAAAAACTTACTGCGTAAAGATTAAGAGTCAAGCAAATCACACCAACTAATATCATAAGAATATGTGATTCTCGGAAGCTGCTCAATAAAAATAAAGAGAACCTTAAAAAAGAATATGATACATATAAAAACATTATATATATATATATATATATATATATATATATATATATAATATAAAAATACTAACTCGATAGCTTTACGATGAATATCTACGGCATGAATTATTTCTTTACAAATTATAATTTGGTTCGCTAGACTAGAATTCATCGGTATCGTTATTGTCATTGCTTTCTCGATGCGATAACTACATAAGTAATTTCTTTCTTTTTATTAAGTAAGCCTCGTTTATACATAAAGGATAACAATTTTCTGACAATATATATATTTAATTATTGTAATAATTTTTGTCAGTTATCAAATAAACAAAATTTATTAAAAATATTAATTTACTATTATACTGCATAACGAATTGAATATCAAATTGTGATTTGGATATCCAGAATTTTGATTTTTGTTTTTAAATGTGAAAAACGAGTAATATCCCAACTTCATAGAGATAAATTGACTTTCATTTCATTCATAAAACAGAAATAATTTTATTACATTAATAAAATGCATTTATTAAATATTAATCATTTTGTTTTAAGTAGCAGCAAAATCATAATTTTACAAACAAAGAACTTCTCTAATTTAATAACAAAAAAGTTATCTCTTGATTTATATATTAATTTATTTATTTCAATTTATTACAAAAATGATTTTACTGTCATAAGATTTATAAATTTATTTTAGATAACAAATATAAATATGACACTAAATATAGAAGTAAAATTCTTAAAGTCTTATTCAAAACTTTTAAATTATTTTCTATATTTAATGCTTCACCTGGCGACTCTAAACATTCCACAGACATGTTCAAAATATGATAGAAGCATCATTCCTATTCCAACTAGTGCTGTCCCTCCTATTAAAATGGCTGCACCCATCAGAATTAAAAACATATATCTTTTTTGGTTAATAAGATATTTAGGTATAAGCTGTTGCATCACACGTGGATGTGTTGCGTTTATGTGCAGAACAAAACCAAGAACACGCCGCAAAATTAGCAAAGTTGTAATAACTGCTATACAAATGTAGAGGTCTAAAAATATTTTTCAAATGTAGATATATAAATTGTTGTTTTTCAATTTTTCGAAATATCATGTAAATTTCTAATGTCATTATCTTAACAATCACTTCTCTATACGATATTTTTGTAGAATAAATATAAAATATTTATTTTTACAAAAATATATAACAAATATAATAATTTTATTATAATAATTATATATATAATAATTTTAATTATAATAATTATATTTATAATAATTTTATAACATGATTTTTTTATTGGAATGTAATAATTAAAATTATTATTGTGAAACAAATATTAGCATTCTATTCATTCATCAATATAAATTCTTATAATCATATTTTGAATAATTTTTTAATTATATTTCTACATTCTAATAAAGAAATATTACAATATAAATATAACATCTCAAATCTTTATGCCAATTTAAATTAGATAACAAAGTGGTTAAAATTATTCGTGGTCAACTTAATTTAATATTTATCATTAATTTAATTTTTACTGTGATTTTTATCATGATAATCTTTTTCATTTGCGACATGTATAAAATGTCGAGAAATACTATATCTTACAGAAAAGCATAGTCGCATTATATTTCGCGTTATTCTCATATCTTTGCATGATAGCGACTTCATTCTTGTCTCTCAGCTCGTTACAGGTGTGCTGAAGTTGCTCCAATAAATATCTTACCTATTACATGAATAATACTTTGGCACTTATCTCGGTATAAATTTTAGTAAGAATTGTTGTGACTTATTCATCTTTATCACGTTGCTTTATTATTAGGTGAAAAACAATTAAAAAATTAACTTACAACTTGAGTATTCATTCGGAACGAATTATATTCAATTGTGTACATAATAAACAATAATACGATAGAGAGAACTTTGATAACAAGATCAGAAGTGCATTCTGTAGATAAAAATACGGTAAGCTACAATCAATAAAAAATTATTTAAAAAATAATAAAATAATGAAAATAATATTCTTTATTTAATTAATTATATTGCTAATATATAATAGTCAGCTATTTTCATATACATTATGATTTATAACAAATAATAAAAAGATTCTCATTGTAGTAAAAAAGATATATATATATATATATATATATATATATATATATATTCAATACAACGATAATATATATATATACAACGATATATATATATATATATATATATATATATATTAGATCGTTGTATTGTCATATATTTATTGTTAATGATATTAAATATATATTAGATACATATATGTAATATATATTTAATATCATTAACAATAAATATATGCATCATATTGCAATAATCATAAATAAGAGTAATATAATTATAAAAGATTATGATCGTGAGAGTATAAACATACCTGGAATATGATAAAGCTAATTAGAATACTAAAAAACAAGACTAACTGAAATTGAACAAGCTTTGATTGCTGATAAGGCCATAAGCCAACCGCGACCAAAAAAATTCGTTGAAAGATAAAATGCTGAATTTGTATAGAAATCATCACTGTGCAAGATACGTTTGACGGCGAAAAGTTCAGCAGAACTCCACAATTCTCTTCTCTGGAGGGATCAATAACAAATAAGTTAAGTCTTATAAGTTAAATAAGTCTTATAAAAATAAGTCTTATAAAATTTCTGTTTCCTCCTGTGTAAATTCCAACATAGATTACTTAATTTAGTATAAACGGTAATGTAAGATGGTAGATAAAATATAACCGTATAATCGAAATACGGCAATATGATGTCTATTGAGGAAGAAAGGGAGCGATTATGCGATCGATACATTTAATGTCTTGATGTCGGAAAAATTACTGCAAATTTATCTCCCGCAGAAAAACACTCTTGAGACAATTTGCTGATTGAAGACTGCGCAAGCGTACTTGGTTTTTCTCAGCGTAAAGAATTTTATGCATTTCATTCGATTGTACACATTCGTGCGGAATGTTTGCTTCTTTAGAAGATTCGTTCTTATACTTATCAAGGTCGTCTTATACTTATTGAAATATTAGTTTGCTCGCCAATAAAATGTAAGATATGATGCAAATATAGTCAATGTAGAAGTCAATGCGGATACAATTCTAGTAAGTAATTTTCAAAATTATATTAAAAAGTACACAGGTGTTTATGTAGATATACGTTTATTTCTTATCTTAAAAAATGAGTCTCAATGATTATTATAAATTAAATTACAATATAATTATAGTTCATTCGGTTTTTTAAATAATTTCAATATCGATTAACACTATAAATTAATTTTTTACGATGTGTACTATTCAATTGCTGCAAAATTTGAAAATTCAAATCTGTACTTATTTATGTACGTGACAAAGATATTTAAACATAATTAATATTAAAACTTTATTTTATTGTGGAAAATATATAGTTCATGTACAATAGTATAAATTATTTAACATGTAAAAATCATGTAATGTTATGAATTTCTCTCTATTTACTTCTTCCTCCTAAAGACAACGCCTATGATGTAATATATTTTTAAAACCACAGTTATTAGAATTTCAGGTAAGTTTGCATTTACTTGCAAATCGTAATGTGCAATAGTATAATCTTATTTCTTACGTCACTCCTGCATAAAATATATAAAATAAGATAACAATGCTTTCGTTAATTGGAATAGAATATATTTTGTATAACTACCGTGTAACAACTAGGTATGTGGTAGTATGTTATACATCATATTATGCATAAGTGATAATATAAAATACAAACTATTGTAGTCTGTTTAAAGGTCTCTAAACTAATACGCGAAAATAATACGTATACACCAAAAGTTAATGAATTCTGTTTATTATGCTTGAAAATCATGTCGTCGATATTTCATTCTTCCTGTTACTTAATTACATGTATCTTTTAAAAATTATAGATAATGTATCTATTTAATTTTCAATATCTCGTCTCCTACATAATATCTTTTTATTGTCTCGCTCTTGTATTTTTCATGCGATATGTATTTGCTAAAACCCATTTGTAAGACGCCCTTGTAAATTATGGTACTTTTCAACGTGCTTTTTCGCAGGTCAGATACGGGTCGCAAATGGAAAAGCCTTTGAGTACCGCATATCCTGTGAAGGAATTCATGTTTTTCATGCATTCTCCTTCCGACTTCTCTTGCTCTCTCCTCTCTTTCCGCCGACCCTAGTCATAGTGTCACTTCCCACGATGCGGTAGGATCTTTTCGCCCCGTTGTTTGCGTACCGCGAATGCCATCGAAAGAGACGGCGGATGACGCGTCTGCGAAGTAGGAAAGAAAGCGAAAGCACCACATCGAGCGAAAAAAAAGGAACACTTTGCAATCGCGAAGAGAGAATGAAAGTACTATGTCAAGAGAAAAGCTTCACAGTCATAAAGAGAAGTAAAAATAAATGTAGCAATATAGAGAGAAAAAGTTTCACTCTTGTAAAAGAAAATAGAAGAAGGGATGTAATAGGATTTGAAGGAAGGTGAAAGTTTCGCGTTGTATGCGAGACGGGACTTTACATGTATAGCTACGAATTGAAATACAAAAATGCACTCTAGAGTCTGAGAGAAGAATTTTCTAGTCACTAAGAGAGATGAGAAAAAATGTAGCAGAATCGAAGAGGAAGCGAAAGACTTACGCCGAGGAAGAAGACCCACAGTTACAAGTAAAGTAGGAAAGA